GTGTCTGTGTGTGTGTGTGTTGAACGAGTGTTGTTAGCGTGTGCGCGTGTTACGTTGACACGGCCACCCGGGCGTGTGAGAGATCCGCGTGGCGTGTGTCGACGTCACCCCCCCCCCCCCATCCTAACCCACTAACCCCCACGGTGCTGTGACCCCAAAGCATGGGGACACACAGCCCCCCCCCCAACCCCTTCCTCCAGCCCGCACGTCAATTCGATTGTCGGCAGCGGTCGCAAGCGTGCTTAGGGGGGGGGGGGGCGGTAATCGGGTACGGGGGGAGGGGCTTGATGGGGGAGGGGGGATGCTGCGGCTAGGAGTGAAGGGACGAGGGGGGGGGGCTGTTTGGCCCCCGACTTGATGCCCTGTCCCCTGCCTTGAGAGGTGCGGCAGCTCTTGTCCCAACAGTCTGTGAAGGTTATGGGGAGGTTGCGGGTGGGTTGGGGGATTTCTTCGTCTTCGTGGGGAGGGGAGGGGGGTTGTGTTCACCTTCCAACCGTAAGCAGGGCTACAGGTTCGAGACTCGCAGCTGAGCACCGTCACTCCCATGAGCAAGAACCCCCCCCCCCCCCAACTTCATCCAGTGAAATAATCATCAATGGCTCAGGACCCACCAGACCCCCCCCCCCCACGCCCGTAGGCCACCAGCCACGTTACTAATTCATAGCGGGAACCGCACGCGCTCCTCTGAACGATTTCCAAAGAATAAATTAAGAACTAAATCGGAATCCCAGGGCATCTTAACAATTCATGCGCGGCTGGGTTTGTAATTCAACGTTCAGTTGGAGCGCGGCGCTACGCGCGGTGTAACAAACGCACCCCCCTCCTCCACCCCCCCCCCACTCCTCCTCGCCCCTCCCCCTCCTCCACCCCCCCCTCCTCCACCCCCCCACTCCTCCTCGCCCTCCCCCCCACTCCTCCACCAACAGCGACGTTGGGCAGCGAACCCGCGGCGCGAGCGACACTCGGGGCCGCGTTCCTTGAGTGGGCGGCGCCCGCGTGGCGCTGGCCAATCACAAGGCCCACGTCGCTGAGTCTCTGCGCGTGTCTGTGTGTTCGTGTCTGTGTGTTCGTGTCTGTGTTCGTGTCTGTGTGTTCGTGTCTGTGTGTTTGTGTCTGTCTGTGTTCGTGTCTGTGTGTGGGTGTCTGTGTGTGTGTGTGGGGAGCGGTGGTGTAGCGGTTAGCGCGCTGCGCTATGAACCTGGCGACCCGGGTTTGATTCCCGCTCACGGCCAACACCGGGTTTTCTGAAACGGTTCTGGGCCTCCCCTAGGTCGATTCAGCCTCAAATAGGGAGACAAAGGCGGCCGGGCGTGGTGTTGGCCACCCACCCCCTCGTGTGTTGTGCCGGCCTTCATAGGTGCTCACGAACAGCACTTGCCCCAAAAGTATGTTAAGGCTATACGGGGAATCTCTGTGGTTGTGTTGTGAGTGTTTGTCTTTGTGGTTGTGTTGTGAGTGTTTATTTGTGTGTGTGATTGTGTCGTGATTGTGTCGTAAGTGTGTGTATGTTCGTGTGTGTGTGTGGTTGTGTTCTGAATGTTTGTGTGTTTTTCCTGGTTGTTGTATTGTGAGTGTTTTGTGTGTGTGTGTGGTTGTGTTGTGAGTGTAGGTTTGCGTTTTCGTGTTGGTTGTCTATCAGCCTATAAATGCTGTGCCAGTCGATATAGGAACTGGGTCCGAGGTGACGCGGGGATGAGATATACGGATATGTGACAGCACAGCAATGGACACTTTGATCCATCTATGCGGAGCTTTGAGTGTGTTACCCTCCTCGAAATGCGTGGTGCGTTCTCTCCAGGTGCCCGGGATTCGTCCCCACGCAACCACGACCTTAGTTTCGTGCAATCGGCCAATCATCCCAGTGGCTCTCTGCAGCTTTGACAGACACAGGATGTCCACCATGCCCAGAAATCCCCGAGACGACGCTACCCTCCCGCAAGATCACGCCACCCCCAGACCTCCCGTGATAATCAATAATCATCAGACCTCTGACAGAACCGCGCGATGTCGCGGTTGGGATCTGCGAGGCGAGGGCTGAGTGTCCAGGCCACGTGTGAGTTCCAGGTGAACGCCACCAGGCACTGAGAAACCATCACTCCCTCTGGTTCCTGATACAATCCCGGATGCGTTTCAATATCGCATTCAATGGACTCGCATGACATTATAACTAACTCATCACCTCTCATCTCACTCTGCTCCCCTCCACGCGCTCTCCTACCTCTCCCCTCTCATCTCACTCTCCTCCACGCACTCTCCTACCTCTCACCTCTCATCTCACTCTACTCCCCACCACGCACTCTCCTGCCTCTCCCCTCTGATCTCACTCTACTCCCCGCCATGCTCTCTCCTACCTCTGCCCTCTCATCTCACTCTACTCCCCACCACGCACTCTCCTACCTCTCCCCTCTCATCTCACTCTACTCCCCACCACGCACTCTCCTACCTCTCCCCTCTCATCTCACTCTGCTCCCCTCCACGCACTATCCTACCGCTCCCCTCTCATCTCACTCTACTCCCCTTCCACGCACTCTCCTACCTCTCCCCTCTCATCTCACTCTACTCCCCACCACGCACTCTCCTACCTCTCCCCTCTCATCTCACTCAACTCCCCTCTACGCACTCTCCTACCTCTCCCCTCTCATCTCACTCTACTCCCCTCCACGCACTCTCCTACCTCTCCCCTCTCATCTCACTCTACTCCCCACCACGCACTCTCCTACCTCTCCCCTCTCATCTCACTCTACTCCCCTCCACGCACTCTCCTACCGCTCCCCTCTCATCTCACTCTACTCCCCTTCCACGCACTCTCCTGCCTCTCCCCTCTCATCTCACTCTACTCCCCACCACGCACTCTCCTACATCTCCCCTCTCATCTCACTCTACTCCCCTCCACGCACTCTCCTACCTCTCCCCTCTCATCTCACTCTACTCCCCTCCACGCACTCTCCTACCTCTCCTCTTTCATCTCACCCTACTCCCCACCACGCACTCTCCTACCTCTCCCCTCTCATCTCACCCTACTCCCCTCCACGCACTCTCCTACCTCTCCCCTCTCATCTCACTCTACTCCCCTCCACGCACTCTCCTACCTCTCCTCTTTCATCTCACCCTACTCCCCACCACGCACTCTCCTACCTCTCCCCTCTCATCTCACCCTACTCCCCACCACGCACTCTCCTACCTCTCCCCTCTCATCTCACCCTACTCCCCTCCACGCACTCCCCTGCCTCTCCCGTCTCATGCTCTCCCTCCCGCCCCAAGTCACGAGAGCAAATACTTAGCCTCATTCATAATTCATGAAGGAATATTTAAAATGCAAATTCCAAACAGATTAAGTGGGACGCTGCTGTTGTGTTGGTCCAAGTGTTTGTTCCGAACTGTGTTTGTTCAATCAATATTTGATTAACTCGGTGTCCCACTTGATCAGACCAACTTGGGGATTCGGGTCCTCGGAGCGGAGAGAGTGAGAGAGCACAAAGCGAAGAGTCGGGCATTGGGTGCGCCCAGCAGTGACAGCCCTCATCCTCTACCATCGTGCTCACGGCGGTAGCAGCAGCACGTTCAGGGACACGCTTTGGTCAACCTCTGCCCCCCCACACACACCCTCTGTCCACCGCCACTGCAGTGTCCACCCTACCCGCCCGCCTCCCCGTGTCCACCTAACCCCTAGCACCCAGGGGAGGCTGAGGCAGCGGGGAGTGTGGGGGGAGGGGGTGGGGGGAGGGGGTGGGGGGGAGCTGTGGTCACCGACCGGAAAATGGAGCGGAGAGAATCCGCGACAAACGGCAGCGGATTAAAGAGAATTCATTTGGGCTGCGGGGGGGGGGGTGCGGGAGTGGGGGGTGCCGGGGTGGGGAGGGGTGCGGGGGTGGGGATCATCCCCCCACCAGCCCCCTCCGCCGTGAGCGGCTGAGACGAGCAGCCGTGGCGTGAAGACGCTCGACATCTTGGACCCCGCGTGGCCGCTCCCCACAGTGGCTCCTGCTGCTGCTGCTGAGGAGCGGTGGCGCAGTGGTTAGCGCGCTGCGCTACCAACCCGACACAGGCCCCATTTCGATTCCCGCTCACGGCAGCCGCCGACAACCACCAGGGACGATTATCCGAACCTCTGAACCGGTCCTGGGCATCGCCCCTGTGGTCGACTCAGCCTCAAATGAGTGTACATGGGGTGGTGCGTGAACATCGTCGCTGGGGAGACGAAGGCGGCCGGGCGTGGTTTTATTATTATTATTTAGAATGCGGTGCGCAGCGGGGCGGTGGCGAAGTGCGCTGTGAACTCCGGTGACCTGAGTTCGATACCCTTCGACGGCTATCATCAGTGCTGAGTGATTTTTAAGAACCGGCCCTGACAACCCCCTCCCATGTCCGTGACACCACTGGCGAGAGCCAACAACCACAACAACGACAACAACAACCACAACAACCACAACAACAACCACAACAACAACCACAACAACAACCACAACAACAAACACAACAACAAACACAACAACAACCACAACAACCACACAGTGATGGTTGTATTTGATGATGCATTTGTGAGTGAATGCGAAATTCATGATGATGCTGCTGATAATCATAATGTATTTTATAGTGATTGTGTATTTCATGATTATGTATTTGAAAACAATGATGCTGATGCTGCTGATGATGATTCTGTTGATAATGATGCTGATAATGCTGCTTCTGCTGCTGATGATGGTGATGCTGCTAATGATGATGCTGCTGATGATGGTGATGTTGCTCATGATGATGCTGCTTCTGATGATGGTACTGATGATGCTGCTGTTGCTGCTGCTGCTGATGATGATACTGATGGTGCTGTTTCTGCTGCTGATGATGATGCTGTTAATAATGATGCTGCTTCTGATGCTGCTGCTGATAATGCTGCTGCTGATACTGATGATGATGCTGCTTCTGCTGCTGCTGCTTCTGATGCTGCTGCTGTTGATGATACTGATTATGCTACTGATGATGCTACTGCTGCTGCTGCTGTGTAGATGGGGAGGGAGAGGCCGAAGCTGTCTACGTGCGCGTGGTGATGCCACCGCGGAACGCGAGCGCTGGGGCGTCCGCCGCGAACGAGCCGACGTTCGAGTGCGTGGCCGACGGCAGGTAAAGTACGAAGTCGTCATCAGCAGCAGCCGCAGCAGTAGCATCAGCTGGAGCAGTTGCATCAGCATCGGCAGAATCACTCTCGTCGTCATCATCGCCGGCATCATCATCGTCGTCGTCATCATCGTCGTCGTCGTCATCATCATCGTCGTCATCATCGTCGTCGTCATCATTATCGTCGTCATCATCGTCGTCGTCATCACCGTCGTCATCATCATCATCGTCGTCGTCATCATTATCGTCATCATCGTCGTCATCATCATCGTCGTCGTCATCATCGTCGTCGTCATCATCGTCGTCGTCATCGTCATCATCGTCGTCATCATCGCCTGCGTCAAGATTATCAGCAGCGGCATCGTCATCAGTGGCGAATGATAATTCATCTGAACCGGTCCTGCCGCCTCCCCTAGGTCTACTCACCCTTAAATGAGTACAGCACCCTAGTGCGCGCGTGTAAAGACCGCCACTGGGGAGACAAAGGCGGCCGGGCGCCGCGCTCACCACCCACCCTCTTCGTGTGCCGTGCCGGCCTTCACAGAGCGTGCTCGCTAACAGCACTTGCCCCTCATAGTCTCTTAAAGCCTACAGGGGGTATCTTTGTCTTTGGTGGCGATGGTGTCGTGATGCCGTGGGGAGCGGCAGTGTCGCGGCGAGCGCCTAGCACGAGCAAACCCGGCGACCCGAGTTCGATTCCCGCTCGTGGCCAACACCAGTGACGATTACAACCTGGACCGGTCCTTCGCCGCCCTTCTAGGTCGACTCGGCCTCAATTGGGTACCGAGTGCGATGTATAAAAAAAACATCGCCACTGGGGAGACAAAGGCGGCGGCGGTGTCGCGATGATGCCCACCCCACCCTCTTGTCATATAGGTCGCTCGCGATCAGCACTTACCCCTACAGTCTGTTAGAATCCTATACGGGGATCTTTGGTGGCTGGTGGCGGTGGTGAGTGAGTGGAGGTGTGAGTCCACCAGCCGTTGTCTCTCTGACGTTCTCATCCCCCCCCCCCGTGTTGCAGGCCCGTGGACAAGGTGAGCGTGACGTGGCGCGTGAACGGCGTCCCCGTCTCCGCGGGGGTCACGGACTTCGGCCGCCGCCTCTCGCTGTCGCCCCCCGCCGCCTCGCCCCCGTCGTGGGCCGGGGCGCGCGGGGGCGACGCGGCGCGGGTGGAGTGCGAGGCGTCGCTCGTCGGGGTCGACGTCCCGCCGGTGTCGCGGAGCGCGTACTTCACCCTCCTGGGTACGCGCGCGCACGTGGAGACACGTGGAGACACGTGGAAACAGTGCACGTGGAGACAGCGCACGTGGAGACACGTGGAGACAGGGGACGTGGAGACAGGACACGTGGAGACAGGGGACATGGAGACACGTGGAGACAGCGCACGTGGAGACAGGAGACAGGTCACGTGGAGACAGGGCACGTGGAGACAGGGCATGTGGAGACAGGGGACATGGAGACAGGTCACGTGGAGACAGCGCACGTGGAGACAGGTCACGTGGAGACAGGGCACGAGACAAAGACGCTGGGACACGCACAGAGACACAGGAGAACAGAGAGAGAGAGAGACGCGCACAAACTTCAAAGACAAATATTCCCCCGTATAGCCTGCAACAGACTGTCGGGGCAAGTGCTGTTCGCGAGCACACTCTATGAAGGCGGGCACGGCGCACCAGGGAGTGGGTGGCCAACACCACGCCCGGCCGCCTTCGTCTCCCTAGTGGCGATGTTCACACACCGCACCAGTTACTTATTTGAGGCTGAGTCGACCTAGGGGAGGAGATCCATGACCGGTTTGGATAATCGTCCCTGGTATTGGCAGTGAGCGGGAATCGAACTCGGGTCGCCGGGTTCGTAGCGAAGCGCCCTAACCGCTACACCACCGCTCCCCACACCAGAACACAGCAGTAACACAACACACTGACACAACACACTGACACAACACTGACACAGCACTGACACAACACACTGACACAACACACTGACACAGCACTGACACAGCACACTGACACAACACACTGACACAACACTGACACAACACACTGACACAACACTGACACAGCACACTGACACAACACACTGACACAACACTGACACAGCACACTGACACAACACACTGACACAGCACACTGACACAGCACTGACACAGCACACTGACACAACACACTGACACAACACTTACACAGCACTGACACAACACACTGACACAGCACACTGACACAGCACACTGACACAGCACTGACACAGCACACTGACACAGCACTGACACAGCACACTGACACAACACACTGACACAGCACACTGACACAGCACTGACACAGCACACTGACACAACACACTGACACAACACTGACACAGCACTGACACAACACACTGACACAACACACTGACACAGCACTGACACAGCACTGACACAGCACACTGACACAACACACTGACACAACACTGACACAGCACACTGACACAACACACTGACACAACACTGACACAGCACACTGACACAACACACTGACACAACACTGACACAGCACACTGACACAACACACTGACACAGCACACTGACACAGCACTGACACAGCACACTGACACAACACACTGACACAACACTTACACAGCACTGACACAACACACTGACACAGCACACTGACACAGCACTGACACAGCACACTGACACAGCACACTGACACGTGTCAACTGACCCCCCCCCCCCTTTCCACAGAGTCCCCCCACTTCATCGTGGAGCTGGAGCGGAGCATTGTGGGAACGGTGGACCAGACGATCGAGATCCCGTGCCGCGCGACCGGTGCGTCTGGGGGGGGGGGGGGTCACGGTTAGGGTCAGGGGTCAAAGTCTGGGTCGGGCTTAGGGATGGTGGATTAAGGATGGGCTTAGCGATGTGTGTGTGGGGCGAGGGTCTGTGTGTGTCTGTGTGTGTGTTTGCTGAGTCTTAATTAAATCAATCACGGCATCTGCAGGAGCTAACACTCCAGCCTGCCCCGTTAATCCCCCCCCCCCCACCGCCTTGCCCACCCCACGCAAACTGCACCTCGGAGTCACGGCGGCGGGTTAAACTCGGAGCGAGGTGCCCGGGTCAGTGACCGCGGGCGTCAAGGGGGGTTGTGCAAATGCTGAGACGACTCAAGGCAAACGCGGGGGGTCAAGGGGGGGGCTGCAACAGCACGCGCGTGATCACCACGTGTGATCCACGCGCCCTGACACGTGTACACGTGCACGCGCCCTGGCACGTGTACACGTGCACGCGCCCTGACACGTGTGCACGCTATAGGAGGTGTCCACCTCACCCCGTATCAGCCGTGCACGTTGGGCGGAAGCGCTAATGCAGCGAACCGCGCAACCAGCGGGTGTTCGACACTTCAACGTGGCCTCAAGGTGCACATAGCCAGGCACACGCGTCGTGGTGACGTCACCGCCACTTAGTGGCGAATGCCGGTTGTTGTTGTTGTCTCTGCGTTGCAGGATGGCCTCGCCCGTCGCTCTCGTGGTACCGGGACGCGGTGCCCGTGCGGCAGCTGCAGGAAGGCCGCCTCCGCGTGCTGCCCGGAGGGCGCCTGCAAGTGTCGCGTCCTCGCGAGCGCGACTCGGCCGTGTACCAGTGCGTGGCGCGCAGCGCGGCCGGCGAGGCGCAGAGCCACGCGCACGTCAGCGTGCTGAGTGAGCGCTCCCTACTCCTCGTCCCCGTGGCTCGCTCCTCTTCCTCCTCCACCACCACCAACTTCTCCTCTTCTACCCCCGCCCGCCCGCCCGCTCGCTCATCCGCCGTGTCTCGCTGCTCCACGACGTCCTCCTCGTCCTCGTCCTTCCCTCCGTCACCACCTCCTCCTCCTCGTGTCTCTCCCTCCTTCACTACCTCCTCCTCCTCGTGTCTCCCTCCTCCTCGTCCCCGTGTCTCCCTCCTCCTCCACCTCCTCCTCGTGTCTCTCCCTCCTCCTCCACCTCCTCCTCGTGTCTCTTCCTCCTCCACCACCTCCTCCTCGTGTCTCTCCCTCCTCCTCGTGTCTCTCCCTCCTCCTCCTCCTCCTCCTCCCCGTGTCTCCCTCCTCCACCACCTCCTCCTCATGTCTCTCCCTCCTCCTCCACCACCTCCTCCTCATGTCTCTCCCTCCTCCTCCACCTCCTCCTCGTGTCTCTCCCTCCTCCTCGTGTGTCTCCCTCCTCCTCCACCTCCTCCTCGTGTCTCTCCCTCCTCCTCGTGTCTCTCCCTCCTCCTCGTGTGTCTCCCTCCTCCTCCACCTCCTCCTCGTGTCTCTCCCTCCTCCTCGTGTGTCTCCCTCCTCCTCCACCTCCTCCTCGTGTCTCTCCCTCCTCCTCGTGTCTCTCCCTCCTCCTCGTGTGTCTCCCTCCTCCTCCACCTCCTCCTCGTGTCTCTCCCTCCTCCTCGTGTGTCTCCCTCCTCCACCACCTCCTCCTCATGTCTCTCCCTCCTTCACTACCTCCTCCTCCTCGTGTCTCCCTCCTCCTCGTCCCCGTGTCTCCCTCCTCCACCACCTCCTCCTCATGTCTCTTCCTCCTCCTCCACCACCTCCTCCTCATGTCTCTCCCTCCTCCTCCACCTCCTCCTCGTGTCTCTCCCTCCTCCTCGTGTCTCTCCCTCCTCCTCGTGTGTCTCCCTCCTCCTCCACCTCCTCCTCGTGTCTCTCCCTCCTCCTCGTGTCTCTCCCTCCTCCTCGTGTGTCCTCCCTCCTCCTCCACCTCCTCCTCGTGTCTCTCCCTCCTCCTCCACCACCTCCTCCTCGTGTCTCTCCCTCCTCCTCGCCCCCCTGTCTCCCTCCTTCACTACCTCCTCCTCATGTCTCTCCCTCCTCCTCCACCACCTCCTCCTCGTGTGTCTCCCTCCTCCTCCACCACCTCCTCCTCGTGTGTCTCCCTCCTCCTCCACCTCCTCCTCGTGTCTCTCCCTCCTCCTCGTGTGTCTCCCTCCTCCTCCACCTCCTCCTCGTGTCTCTCCCTCCTCCTCCTCCTCCTCCTCCACCTCCTCCTCCTCCTCGTGTCTCTTCCTCCTCCTCCTCGTGTCTCTCCCTCCTCCTCCACCTCCTCCTCCTCGTGTCTCTCCCTTCTCCTCCACCTCCTCCTCGTCCCCCTGACGACAACCGCCAGACCGTGCGTGGCAGTGTCTTGGCGGCTAACCTGGTTTTGAAAGCGCCAGTATTTGTGTCTTGCGATAGTGTCCCTTGACGTCCGAGCTTAATTAAACCCAACAAGTTTTTGTTATTTTTACCAGGTAAGGCCCCACTCAGCTATATCGCTCTTTTTCAGAAGCGGCCTGGCCACAAATGATAACCCAACGAAGCGACGTATCATCGCCGTGCGGAAATTTATAGCAGCCCAATACTCGAAACGCGTGTTCATTGTGAATGTGGAGGGGAAAACCCGAGGGCCCGGAGAAAAATCGACGCCACCACGGGGAGAGAAAGAGAGAGAGAGACACGCAAATTCCAAATATACTGTAGGCGTCAGGGTAGGGATCGAACCGACTACCTCCTGTATACCAGGCGAGGTAGTTAACATCTCCTAGCCACCGAGGAGAGATGTTAACAAAAATACATACAATTCTGGGCCCCCCCCCGCTCCTCTCCCCCGCTCCCCCCTCCCACTCTAACCCCCCAAACCTCGCCCCCACTACCCCCCCCCTCTAACCCCCCCAACCCCCCCCCCCCCACCACTTTAACCCCCCTGCCCCTACTCTAACCCCCTAACCCTCCCCACTCTAACCCCGCCAACCCCCCTTCCACTCCCCACTCTTACCCTCCCAACCCCCGCCCCCGACTCTAACCCCCCCAAACCCCCCCCCACTCTAACCCCCCCACTCTAACCCCCCCCCCCCACTCTAACCCCCCCAACCCCCGCCCCCCCCCCCAGGCTTCGCGCCCAACATCACCCGGGGCCCCGTGGAGGGGGTCCTGGTGGAAGGGGACACGGTGGTGATCCCCTGTGACGTGCAGGGCGCCCCCAGACCCACGCTCACGTGGCTCAAAGGTGAGGGAACCCGCGACAGCGGCTGATTTTGATTCCCGGGACACCGCTTAGGTCAGCGGCGAGTGAGTCATCTCAGCCGGTCCAGCCGCCTCTCCTAAGTTGACTCAACCTTAAATGAGGACCTCGTGCGCCACTGAGGAGACAAAGGCGGCCGAGCTTGGTGCTAGCCACCCACCCCCAGGTGTTCGCTGACAGCAACTTGCCCCAAAAGACTGCTAAGGCTATACGGGGGATATTTTGTGTGTGTGAACGTGTGTGTGTGTGAGAACGTGTGTGTGTATGAACGTGTGTGTGTGTGAACGTGTGTGTGTATGAACGTGTGTGTGTGTGTGTGTGAACGTGTGTGTGTGTGTTTAGGTGGTGGGGAGCGGTAGTGTAGTTCGATTCCCGCTCCAGGCCAACACCAGTAACGATTATCTGACATCCTCTAGGTCTACTTCAGCCTCAAATGAGTACCTGGTGTGGATGAGTAAACATCACGACTAGGGAGACAAAGGCGGCCAGGAGTGGTTCTGGCCACCCCCTCGTGTGCTGTGCCGGGCTCCATATGTTCTCGCTAGCAGCACTTGCCCCTGACAGCCCGTGAAGGCTACACGGGGGATCTTTGTCTGTTGTGTTGACGTGTTTCTTGTGGGAGGTGGTGGAGCAGTGCTTAGCAAACTGCCAACGGGTGAGCGCCGTGGGTCAGCGAGTGGAGTGAGTGAGGTGGGTGGCTGTTTGTATCGCTGTGAGCGAGTGGGCGACACGATAATTGGTTGGGCGAATAAGTTGGGTGAGTGTTGAGCGGGTGAGTGGGTGGGTGAATGAGTCATTGCATGGGTGAGCGAGCGGTGACGACTTTGTGTCAGTGTGAGTGAATGGGCACGCATGGGGAAGTGAGTTGGTGATTGAGTGAGTGGGTGCGTAGAAGAGTGGGTCACTGGGTGTGTCAATATCTAGTGAGTGGGCGAATGAGTTGTTGGTGATTGAGTGGGTGGTTGTGTGGTTATCTGGGTAAGTGGGCGAGTGGGTGACTGCGTGTGTGTCACACACACACACGTGCATTATGGGGAACGGTAGTACAGCGGTTAGAGACACTGCGGTTGCAAAACCCGGCCACCCGAGTTCGACTCCCGCTCACGACCGATAACAGTGGCGAATATTTGAACCGATTCTTGGGCCTCACCGGGTCGATACGCCGCCGCCTCGCGTGTGCCGTGCCATCCTGCGTAGGTGCTCGCTAAACATCGCACTTTGGCAGCCGAAAATATTTCGAAAGCTACACGGGGGTGGGGGGGTGGGAGTTTTCCCCTTTGTCTCTGTACGGATTCCGCGATCCACGAGGGAATGCGCTGACGCAGGCATTGTGGGCCCGCGTTGGGTTATTCGCGGTACATTTCTCATTAAACACGAATTGATTCATCAGCTAACGACCGGTGCTAAACGAGATTTCTCGAGTCGCGCGTGCCGGTGTGTGTACGTGTGTGTGTGTGTATTGCGCTGGCGGGGTCATGTAGCCCGCATGCCTAGCCACCGCATGCCTAAACAGATTTTGTTCGGCCGGATCGAGGGGGCTAAACGGGCGCGGCACGGGCTAGAGAAGAGATGGAGTGATGTGGTACAGGAGGATGTGGAGCTGAGTCGACCTGCCGATGACTGATACCAGCGGTGTCAAGATCGGCCTCAGTGGAGGAGGCTCGTGAAGGATGCTGCTGGGCAGTTGGAGGTAGTCGCCCTCCAACAACAACGGAGGGCGGAGGAGCGACGCTCACAACAACAAGCGGAGCGCCGGGTGGCTAAAGCACAGCAAGTTGGCACAGTAGAGGGCACAGGTGGTGCATCAGCCAGTCATCTCAGTCGTCTCAGTCAGTCGACCCGTGGCACCTGCTGGGTCTGCCCCGTGACCTCCTGCCAGCGTGCGTTCGACACTTCACGTGGCCTTAAAGTGCACCTAGCCTGGCACAAGCGTCGTGGTGACGTTTGTTATTTATTCGGATGGCGGAGTGTACTGGGTAGTGGTGGCGCAGTGGTTAGCGCACTGCGCTGCCACCACGCGACCTCCCCAGTTCGACTGGCGCTCAGGACCCACGGCAGTGGGCGAATATGGAAACTCGCTCACAGGCCTCGCCTAGGTCGACTCAGCCGTTAATGAGGATCTCGTGTGGTGGGCAAACATCGGAGTCAGACCACGTGCTCGCGCTGGAGGAAACCGATGAGCTGAGCAGCGCTCTTTCACAGATGATGAGTAGGGGGGTGGGGGCACGGGGTCAGAACGTTACAGCACTGGGGAGACAAAGACGGTCGGGCGTGATGTCGGTCACCCACCACTTCGTAGGCGCTCGCTTAATTGGCACTTGCCCCAACAGTTTGTTGAAGGCTTTACGGGGAGACGTGGGGGGGAGTGGGGATCTTTGTCTTTTTCCTTTGCCGCATTTCCAGGACGCCACGAGATTGCAACACTTCAGGTGACACCTCCCTTCGCCTCCCCCCTCCCCCCCTCATTGTTTCCCACGAACCACCACCGCGTTGTTTACCCCAGTATCGCCCCCCTCCCATCCGCACTTCCACCTCCCCCACCATCACCACCCTTCCCGCATTGTGTTGCTTTGTATTTATGCAAAGTGCGTTAATGTGCATTTAATTAAAACTAATCATTGTAACAATTTTAATGCAATGTTTGCTTCCGCAGTTTAATTACTCACACTCGTAATTAGACACAGCGGTTGTTCCCGCTGCCACCATCACCACCATCATCACCATCGTCACCGTCATCATCACCATCGTTATAATCATCATCACATTGTCAGCATCACCATCATCGTCACCATCAGCGTCATCATCACCATCAGCATCACAATCGTCATCATCATCACCATCGTCACCATCAGCGTCATCATCACCATCACCGCCATTATCATAACCATCACCGCCATTATCATCACCATCACCGCCATTACCACCACCATCACCACCGTCACCACCGTGATGGTAACGGTGGTGTAACGGTAAGCGAACTGCCCTCCGAACCCGACGGCCCGAGTTCGATTCACGCTGACGGCCAACAGCGGTGGTACTCACAACGCACCGGTGCGGTGTGCAAACATCGCCACTGGGGAGACAAAGGCGGTCGGGCGTCGTTGCGCCGGCCACCCACACCCTCGTGTGCCACAGTGCCGGCCTTCGTAGGTGCTACTCGCTCACAGCACTTGCCCCAACAGTCTGTTGAGGCTGCAGGGGCGTTGGGGGGATCATTGCCTTTGTAATGTGGCGCTGCACGTGGCGATGACGCGTCATCATCAACACGCGTGTCGAGTCCACGTGATGTTTAACCACTCACTGCTTACGTGGCATCTCTATAATATCTGTGTGTCATGTGCATCAGTTACACCCCCCACCCCACTTCCCTCACCGCGATGTGAGTGAATTTGCTCGGATGAAGTGATCGACTCTCGCTTCATCCACGGTCTCCTGGGACTCGCAGAGATGAGGGGAGGAGGAGGAGGAGCGGGGGGGCGTAGGGGGGAGGGAGGGAGTGAACACCCCCTCCTTGACCCCCCCGTCAGGGGTGTCGAAGGCGTCAAGTCGGCATCCCCACGGGGACCCCCCCCCCACACAATTCTTTAGACCCCCCCTCCTCCTCCTCCTCCACGCCCAGCATCGCGAAGGCGATTGATGGAGATGAATGTGAGCCCGGGGCAATTGGCCCTCCGTTGATTCTCCACCCGGACGCCTCGAGCCCTCAACGAGATTATTCTGTGATAAATAAACCGACCGGAGGGGGCAGTGTGGGGTGGAAAGAGGGGAAAGGGTGGGGGAGTGGTGGCGCAGCAGTTAGCGCGACGCGCTCAGAACCTGGCGACCCGAGCAGTCGGCGGCGAGTGATATCCGAAGAGGTTCATCGTTGACCAGCGTGGTGAAGTATGGTCAAATAACCCCCCCCCCCGCGCCCACGTGACCACCACTAGAGCGGGACTCCTCCATCCGGCTGCGGGTTGAGCAAAATGTTGTCAACTCCTCGCGGTCCGCTCCCATCTCGAGTTAGGCGGAGATGGGAATGGGCGGGAGGAGACGGGATGACATCTGAAGGCGCTAAGAGGAGATAAGAGAAGACAGCTGTGTGTATAGGAGGAGACACGGGGAGACGTGGAGAGAGAGGAGACACGAGAAGACACGGGGAAGACGTGGAGAGAGAAGAGACACGAGAAGACACGGGGAAGACGTGGAGAGGAGACACGGAGAGACACGAGGAGACACGAGGCGACACGGAGAGACACGAGCAGCCAGGGGAAGACGCGGAGAGAGAAGAGACACGGAGAGACACGAGGAGACACGAGGAGACACGGAGAGACACGAGGAAGACGTGGAGAGAGAAGAGACACGGAGAGACACGAGGAGACACGGAGAGACACGAGGAGACACGAGGAGACACTGAGAGACACGGGGAAGACGTGGAGAGAGAAGAGACACGGAGAGACACGAGGAGACACGGAGATACACGAGGAGACACGAGGAGACACTGAGAGACACGGGGAAGACGTGGAGAGAGAAGAGACACGGAGAGACACGAGGAGACACGGAGAGACACGAGGAGACACGAGGAGACACTGAGAGACACGGGGAAGACGTGGAGAGAGAAGAGACACGAGGAGACACGAGGAGACACTGAGAGACACGGGGAAGACGTGGAGAGAGGAGAGACACGAGGCGACACGGAGAGACACGAGCAGCCATGGGGAAGGTGTGGAGAGGCAGGAGGAGAGAGGCGGAGATCACCGAGTGAGTGAATTTCGTTTGCGCGGCACGAGAGGGGTGGGAGCGTGAGACACTCGCTATGGATGCCTCGTGTCTCTCTCTCTCCGACACGGGGAGAGAGAACTCGCACACTGTCTCTCGCCTCGACACATTCCCCGCTGACTCGGGGTGGACGGGGCGAGGGAGGGAGGGAGGGAGGGGTGTTAAATACACATGAGCAGATGTTCGCTCTCGGAGAACGCGGAATCAGAATCTTGATTTATCCTGCAGGAATCCGATGAGCTGTGAAGCTCTTTCCCCACAGGCGTCCAGTAGGGGGCGGGTCAACACGTTGCGACGACAAACAATGCCGCAGCAAAACAATAATAATAGTGCGAAATAGAGAAAATATAAGAAACATCATTGCGAATGCATAACGTAAGAATAACACAAGAACATACGTCCCTGCCGATTTGTCGACACTAAATGGAAGCTTTCACGATGCAGAACAACAACAAAAACAACAACAAAAACCGTTACAGACGGCGGGGCATGAACGGCATTGACCACGTGCGCACGCGTGGTCTCACGGTCACGCCGAAGAGCACGCGCCTTGAACGAGAGCCTCGTTTCCATTGGAGGAGCCACCCTCTAGCGAGAGCCGCGCTCCTATTGGAGGAGCCACGCTCTAACGAGAGCCTCGCTCCTATTGGAGGAGCCACCCTCTAACGAGAGCCACGCTCCTATTGGAGGAGCCGCGCTCGAGCAAGAGCCGCGCTCCTATTGGAGGAGCCACCCTCTAACGAGAGCCACGCTCCTATTTGAGGAGCCGCGCTCTAACGAGAGCCGCGTTCCTATTGGAGGAGCCGCGCTCTAACGAGAGCCACGCTCCTATTGGAGGAGCCACCCTCTAACGAGAGCCACGCTCCTATTGGAGGAGCCACCCTCTAGCGAGAGCCGCGCTCCTATTGGAGGAGCCACCCTCTAACGAGAGCCACGCTCCTATTGGAGGAGCCACCCTCTAACTAAAGCCACGCCCCTATTGGAGGAGCCACCCTCTAACGAGAGCCTCACTCCTATTGGAGGAGCCACGCTCTAACGAGAGCCACGCTCCTATTGGAGGAGCCACCCTCTAACTAAAGCCACACCCCTATTGGAGGAGCCACCCTCTAACGAGAGCCTCACTCCTATTGGAGGAGCCACCCTCTAACGAGAGCCACGCTCCTATTGGAGGAGCCACCCTCTAACGAGTGCCACGCTCCTATTGGAGGAGCCACGCTCTAACGAGAGCCGCGCTCCTATTGGAGGAGCCGCGCTCTAACGAGAGCCTCGCTCCTATTGGAGGAGCCACCCTCTAACTAGAGCCACGCTCCTATTGGAGGAGCCGCGCTCTAACGAGAGCCTCGCTCCTATTGGAGGAGCCACCCTCTAACGAGAGCCACGCTCCTATTGGAGGAGCCACGCTCTAACGAGAGCCGCGCTCCTATTGGAGGAGCCACCCTCTAACGAGAGCCACGCTCCTATTGGAAGAGCCACCCTCTAGCGAGAGCCACGCTCCTATTGGAGGAGCCACCCTCTAGCGAGAGCCACGCTCCTATTGGAAGAGCCACCCTCTAACGAGAGCCTCACTCCTATTGGAGGAGCCACGCTCTAACGAGAGCCGCGCTCCTATTGGAGGAGCCACCCTCTAACTAGAGCCACGCTCCTATTGGAGGAGCCACCCTCTAACGAGAGCCTCACTCCTATTGGAGGAGCCGCGCTCTAACGAGAACCTCGCTCCTATTGGAGGAGCCACCCTCTAACGAGAGCCACGCTCCCATTGGAGGAGCCACCCTCTAACGAGAGCCACACTCCTATTGGAGGAGCCACCCTCTAACGAGAGACGTGCTCCTATTAAAGGAGCCACCCTCTAACGAGAGCCACGCTCCTATTGGAGGAGCCGCGCTCTAACGAGAGCCACGCTCCTATTGGAGGAGCCACCCTCTAACTAGAGCCACGTCCCTATTGGAGGAGCCGCGCTCTAACGAGAGCCACGCTCCTATTGGAGGAGCCACCCTCTAACTAGAGCCACGTCCCTATTGGAGGAGCCGCGCTCTAACGAGAGCCACGCTCCTATTGGAGGAGCCACCCTCTAACTAGAGCCACGCTCCCTGCGTAGAACCACACTCCTCTAATGAATGCGCGTAACGCACGAGAGCACGTGGTTAATAACCGCATTAATGGGACTTATGCACCTGACACCGGGCTCTGGGGGGGGGGGGGCAGCCCCCCACCCACCGTCGCCCCGAGGGGATTGAGGTGTGGGGGAGGGTAGCGATGGAGGCGGTGGAGGGAAGGGAGCGAGTTGTGAGACTCGGAGGACGCCGAGTGACATTTGTCTAAATTAATGCTCGCGGGGCGCACGGAGCGGCTTGTGTTGGGGGTTGTTGTTGTTGTTGTTGTTTGGAGCGAGCGAGGCGCCCGCGCGTTAATGAGCGACAACGCAAATCGCCGGACGCGAATGAATAAAAAAAAGAAAATGGTAATATTTGTACTTAAAAAATTAAATGTATTTTAGATGAATCAGCCGGCAGCGCGAGTTCTCACGAGCGGCGGGGCCTTTGTGCCACGGAGCGATTTGTTAAAAATGAAATCCGTGACGCGGCCGTGAGGATGACTCCCATCTGCTACCCCCCCCCCCCCCGCACTCTCCCCCCCACAACATGAAAGTGATTTGTTACCGCCCGTTGCTTGATTTCAGCCGGATCGGGAATTGCATCCATCTCGCCGCGATGCTGGTCCGCCCTGATGCCGTGATGAGACTGCATCCAATGCGTGTAGCGCTGTTCATGGCGTTATGGCGATGTACGGGATGGGCTACAATCGTAGCAGGGCCTTTGCGCGAAGGAGACAAGGTTCCGTCCCCGTACAGATAGAAACGGATGGAGACGAGTACATTTGCTGTACCGTCTTCTCCCGGCGAGCCGGGGGAGTGTCCCAACAGCACGGTGATCCACCAATCCCCTTCGCCGCCACCTCCACAGCGCTGGCAGCGCGCTCGCCACTTGTTGCAGACGTTCGCGGTTCGAATCCGGCATCCCGCCCTGGTTAATGATGGGGGTGTGCGACACGTGTCAATACTGCTGGGCGCCCTCTGTTTCACAGTGGAGGTTAAACATCCCCTGCAGATATTCTAATTGAATGGGTTGTTGTGTGCCGACAGCATTGGCTTCGAGTTTGCCGAACGGATACGTTACGAGGTCGGACTCGTTACACACAAAGCGTTCGCCACAAATGAACCACAATACCTCGCTGATCTCGTCAAGGAGGTTAAAGCACCGCCACGCGAACTCCGGGTCATGCTCGCAGCAGCGGCGGCTTTTTGGATATCCTTCATAATAAAGGTTTTTGGGTCAGATCGCGTTATTTATAAAATGTGTCGTAACCCTCCACCACCCGACACGGCCAAACAGTAAAAAAATGTGTCACGTTTTCAAAGGACAAATTAATTGACTTCTTTAGCCCCACCGGTGTGCTGAAGAGAGAATCAACAGCATTTTAAATGTGAGTAGTACGACGTTTCGCTGATAATTACAATCAGCTTCATCGGGCAAGAATGGTGAAGCTCTCATGTTGCTTCCGGTCTTAAATAGAGCAGCATCAGGGTGACGTCATCACATAATTCAACTCAATCTGGTGCAGTGATTCGAGGCAAAGAGGAAGAGGGTATTGTAATTATATAGATTGGTAATCACTCAATTGTTATTCATTGGTATTTGTTTCCCTTATGAGGAATTGTAATTGTATTTATTTCATAATACGCTTCCAGGCCGCACTAAGCCTGTAGCTGTCAGAGCGATTGAAATTATTTCTGTTTCTCTCAATTTCAATGGATTCTCTAATTAGTCTTGGCCAGTAATAATTAGTTTTTTGGATATCCATCGCACAAAGGCGGCGGTCACCGCATGGAACGCTCCTCCCTTCCGATGTTAGGAAGCCGCTGGAGCTACGCACTTTTAAATCATCATCATGGTCTAGATTGACGAACTCATTTCGTTAGAACTGCTGTTTGTGTTTAGTTTCTTGTCCTTCCCGCACCTGTGATTAGCGCGGTTGGCTACGTACGGTGTGAAAGAAGTTCAACATACATGTTTTTTAATTACCCCACCTCTCTCCCCCATGTATGTAGACCAGGTGTTGAGTCACCTTGTGCCGCACGGGGGACAGCTGCCCCTGGGGGTGCCCATTCAAAAATGTTGCTACGTGATGCGCGTGTCACGTGCTATAAGGGAAAGTCTTTGTATGTGCGTGTGTGTGTGTGTATCATTGGGGAGCGGTAGTGTAGCGGTTAGCGCTACGAACCTGGCGACCCGAGTTTCGATTCCCGCTCACGGCCCGACACCTAGTGACGATTATCTGAACCGGTTCCTGGGCCTCCCCTAGGTCGACTCAGCCTCAAATGAGTAGCTGGTGCGATGTGTAAAAATCGCCACTAGGGAGACAAAGGCGGCCGAGCGTGGTTGCTGGCCACCCACCCCCTCGTGCGCCGTGCCGGCCTTCATAGGTGGTCTCTAACAGCACTTGCCCCAACAGTCTGTTCAGGCTATACGGGGGATCTTTGTCTTTATCGTGCTCTCCTGGGTCTCACGGAGGTCGACTCGGTCTTAAATGAGTGGCGTGTAAACATCAGCGATGGGGAGAGACAAAGGCGGCCGCGTTAGACCTTCGCAAGTGCTCGCTGACAGCACTTGGCCCCCAACACGTCCGTTTACAAGTTGGGGGCTAGCTGGGTCACCTTTGTCTTTGCGCACAGGGGGAGTGAAGCTCTCGCTGCCCGCGTCCCCTCGCCGCCTCGGCGCGGAGGGGGGGCCCCTGGCGGCCGCCCCGCGCCTCTCGCTGCTGGAGTCGGGGGGGCTCCGCGTGGCGCCCGTGCAGATGCTCGACTCGGGCACGTACGCGTGCCAGGCCAAGAACTACCGCGGGGACGCGACAGCCAGCGCGCGCATCACCGTGTGGGGTGAGGAGCCCCCCCCCCCAGCCTACCCCCTCCCTCCCCCCAGCCTCCCCCCTCCCCCCCTCCGCCCCCCCCCTCCCCCCCTCCGCCCCCCCCCCCAGCACGCGCATCACTGTGTGGGGTGAGGAGCTCCCTCCCCCCTTCCCCCCACTCCCCTTCCGTCCTCCCTCCCCCCCGCCCGCGTACACCCCCCACCCACCCCCCCTCCAGCGCGTGCTGGGGTGAGGAGCGCTGCCCCCTCCGTCCTCCCTTCCCTCCCCCCTGCCTCCCCCCCCAGCCCTCTCCCACTCCCCCTTCCCTCCCCCTCTCCCTCCCTCACGTACACCCCCCACCCCCACCACATGAGCACCACTCTCTACCAGCCCCCAACAAACTGGAAGCCCCCCCCCCCCTCTCCACCTCCTCCTCCCGGTAGTGGTGAGCGATGGAGGTTTGCGCCAAGGGTGAGCGCGAGTGGTGAGCGTTGGTGGTGAGCGATCGAGGCGCGGATTTACAAACGTCAGCAGTCGCTGGACTCGGCGAGAGGGGCTCGAGCAGAGATGGAGAGCTCGTCTCGTTGTGCTGTGGCGCGCGTGCACGTGCTGTGGATGCGTGACACAAAGACAAAGATGCCCCGTATAGCCTCAACAGGCTGTTGGGGCAAGTGCTGTTTTAGCGCGCTAACGCGTGACCTCCCCCCCCCTTTTGTCACTGCCCCCCCCCCCCCCCCCCACAGTGCGCACTCGCATCTCAGACCCCCCGCGCGACAAGAGCGTGGTTCGTGGGGGGCGCGCCGAGCTGCAGTGCGGGGTGACCCACGACCCCGCGGTGAGCGTGTTCGTCGCGTGGGAGAAGGATGGAGCCCCCCTGGGGACCGGACCCCCCTCTCCCTCCTCCTCCTCCTCCTCTTCCTCCTCCCTACCCCCGGGGTCGTCAGTGCTCGTCTCGTCGTCGTCGTCTGCGGCGTCGTCGTCGACGGGGGGCTCGCTGTGGGGGGCGGCCGTGCCCCCCACGCGCAGGGAGCTCCTCGTGGTGCCCAGGGCCATGGCAGCGGACACGGGCACCTACGCGTGCCGAGTGACGTCCGCGGCCGGCAACGACACGCGGAGAGCCAGGCTCGACGTCAGGTGCAGCGTCGTCATCAACAGCGTACCCATCATCATCGTCATCAGCAGCAGCAGCGTCGTCATCAGCAGCGTACCCATCATCGTCATCAGCAGCAGCATCGACATCATCAGCAACGTCGTCATCAGCAGCATCGACATCATCAGCAGCAGCATCATCAGCAGCGTCGTCATCAGCAGCGTATCCATCATCATCAGCAGCAGCATCATCAGCAGCGTCGTCATCAGCAGCGTATCCATCATCAGCAGCAGCAGCATCGACATCATCAGCAGCGTCGTCATCAGCAGCGTACCCATCATCGTCATCATCATCAGCAGCAGCAGCATCGTCATCACCATCGTCATCATCGTCAGCAGCAGTCGTCAGTCATCACATTCATTTGGGCTGCGTTTCTTCTCGCCCCCCCGCCCCCCCAGGGAGATGCCGCACCCCCCCCAGAACGTGAGGGCGCGTGTGAGCGCCACGCACAGGCGGGTTGCCGAGGTGTCGTGGGTGCGAGGCTACGACGGAAACAGCGCCCTCGTCGGCTACACCCTCGAGTTCTCCGTGAACGGTCAAGAATGCCCTCGTTCATCATCATCACCATCATGTCACCATCGTTATTATCACCATCATCATCATGTCATCATCGTTATTATCACCATCATGTCACCCATCGTTCATCATCATCACCATCATCATGCCACCCATCGTTATTATCACCATCATGTCACCATCGTTATTATCATCATATCATGATCATCGTCAAATCATATAATTATCATATCATTATTATCATTACCATATCATCATTATAATCATCATATCATCATCATTACCACTAACTGGGCTTGTTTACTGCTACTATTAACTATTTCTGTTTTATCAGGTAAGGCCCCTCTGAGCTACGTAGCTCTTTTTTAGAAGCGACTTGGCCACAAATGATGGCCCAACCTTGACCAAGTGGCTTATCACGTGGACATTTAAAGCAGCCAAATACTCTAAACCATGATGATGTTTCTAAATGTAGAGGGAAAACCCGGAGGAAAAATCCACGCGACAACGGGGAGAGAGACACCGCAAACTTCAAACATACAGCAGGCTTCAGGGTCGGGATCGAACCAACTACCTTCTGTATACCAGGCGAGGTAGTTAACATCTCCCAGCCACCGTGGTGATGATGAGAGAGAGACACCGCAAACTCCAAATATACAGCGGGCATCAGGGTCGGGACCGAACCCACACACGACCTCCTGTATACCACACTCTAAAACTCACACACACACAAACTCACGCACACAATTTGACACTCAAACTCACTCGCACACAACAGCGCGCGAACTAACTTCTATGCAGAAAGGCGCCCGAGTCTGGATTCGAACCGGAGTCTGGATTCGAACCGGGGTCCCTCTTGCCGGGCGGCACGAGCTGTTGCCACCGCGCTGCCAGCATCCTTTCGTTTAATCACTGGCACCAATTAATCTCTAATGGACCGCCGGTTAATCGCTAATTGCCCACTTGATTAACTTATTAGCGTGATTACTGGAAGACTCGAGTGGCACCAGGACACGGTCTGGTGGCGCCGCATCGCCCACGAGGCCAGGCCAGATGTTACACTTTCTGCTGCCACCAGAGGGTTGCATGAACTGAGAAGCGGTTTCTAATCTGCGCGTCTGCGTGTGTGCGTGTATGCGTATGTGCGTATGTGCATGTGCGTGTGTGCCCAGTACCCAGTGAATTATACTGGTAGGAACCTCCTGGTTACACCAGCCCACAGGGGATTATTGTGTCCGTCCGTCGTGCAGGGAGGGGCTGGGTGGGGAGGGAGTGTTTGCCTTGTGGATAGATTCACCCCCTCGCCGTTTGAATGTGGACTTTCCAGGGTTGCTTTGAACAGATAATGAACGCCAATGCTTCATCGGTGCTCATTTGAGCAGGAATTAGGGATCCTTTTGTAGGGTCGTGGCCCAGGATCTGTACAGATATCACTCGCCAATGATGTTGTTCGGGTTGTACGGATGCATCTTTTACTTCTTTCACACCGTACGTAGCCAACCGCGCTGATCGGAAGTGCTGGGGAAGGACAGCAAACTAAACACAATCAGCAGTTCTAAGGAAATGAGTTTGTCAATCTCGATAATTATGATGATTTAAAAGTGCGTAGCTCCAGTGGCTTCCTAATATCGGAAGCAAGAGCGTTCCAGACGGCCGCAGAAGCGCATCTGAAAGCGCGCGGCACAGTGACCACCGTCTTTGTCCGATGGTTCGCCAGAAGCGGGGTTGTTAACGGAGTGCGCTAACCACTGCGCCACCACTCCTCGCCTAACCCCCACCCACCGACGTTGCAATCCCTTTGTGATGACTCTGCGAATCCACTTCTAGATTAAAGCCTCCCCATGCCCCACGGCACGGGGGTTGTGCCCTCGCCTTTGGCCTTCATATAAATACTTCAATGCTTTAAGTGGTTGGGAGTGTGGGTGGTGGTAGTTAGTGGTGGGCGGTGTGGTGGGTGGCTGGGTGGGGGGGGCTTTGAGGGAGTTCGTGGGTGGTGGTGGTGGTGGTGGTGGGGTACTTTGTTCTTTTGTTTTCATGTTAATTCAATTACTTTTAATGCCGCTCGCAGCAATTTGCGACCCTCTCTCGCGCGCGCGCGCCGATGATGCTGATGGGCCGTGAATGTCAATGTGCGGAGATTTTTTGAGGGGCTGCTCCTGCAGTGTGAATCCTAATGCTGCTGCTGCGATGCCGTCTTCACCATCGTCGTGGAGTGGTGGTGGTGGTTGTTGTTGTTGTGTGAATGTTAATGCTTGGGGCTGACTTCCGTCGCCAGATATAGGCGCCCGCATTGATTCCTAACGCGCAACAAGAAAGGGAATGGGGGGGGGGGGTAAAATAAATAAATATTGCGCGCAACTTTACGCTATTTGTCAACAACATTGTGTGTGTGCGTGTGTGCCTGGTCTTAGGGGTAACACATATGTGGTAGGCGACGTTTCGGGCAATGCCCTCACCCCGTCCCCTGTGTTTATCGCTCTTATCGATTTGGTGATGCTGGGTGGTGGTGGTGGTGATGCTGTGGTGGTGGTGGATGGTGGTGGTGGGTGGTGGTGCTGGGTGGTGGTGGATGGTGGTGGTGGGTGGTGGTGGTGCTGTGTGGTGCTGGGTGGTGGTGGTAGTGGTGCTGGGTGGTGGTGGTGCTGGTGCTGGGTGGTGGTGGTGCTGCTGGGTGGTGGTGCTGGGTGGTGGTGGTGCTGCTGCTGCTGCTGGGTGGTGGTGGTGGTGCTGCTGGGTGGTGGTGCTGTGTGTTGGTAGTGGTGCTGTGTGGTGCTGGGTGGTGACGTTGTGTGGTGGTAGTGGTGCTGGGTGGTGGTGCTGTGTGGTGGTGGTGGTGGTGACGATGCTGTGGTGGTGGTGCTATGTGGTTGTGCTGTGTGGTTGTGCTGTGGTGGTGGTGGTGACGGCGCTGTGTGTCCCCTGCTGCGTGCCGCTGGCCCCTGCTGCAGGCTCCCCGTGGAGGATCCTGCTGCAGGGGCTGCCCGCGGACTCCCTCAACGTCTCCACGCCGCCGCTCGCGCCCGGCAGCTCCTGCCGCTTCCGCCTCAGCGGCCTCAACGGCGTGGGCACCGGGGAGCCCAGCGCGGAGAGCGAGAGGTGGGGGCTCGGGGGGAGGGGAGGGGCACCGGGGAGCCCAGCGCGGAGAGCGAGAGGTGGGGGCTCGGGGGGAGGGGAGGGGCACGGGGGGGAGGGGAGGGGCACGGGGGAGGGGAGGGGCACCGGGGAGCCCAGCGCGGAGAGCGAGAGGTGGGGGCTCGGGGGGAGGGGATGGGGCACTGGGGGGAGCCCAGCGCGGAGAGCGAGAGGTGGGGGCTCGGGGGGAGGGGAGGGGCACGGGGGGAGGGGAGGGGCACGGGGGGAGGGGAGGGGCAACCGGGGAGCCCAGGCGGAGGAGCGTAGAGGTGGGGGCTCCGAGGGGGGTAGGGTGAGGGGCACCGGGAGCCCAGCGCGGAGAGCATGAGCGAGAGGTGGGGGGTCTCGGGGGGAGGGGAGTGGCACGGGAGCCCCGCGCGGAGAGCGAGGAGGTGGGGGCTCGGGGGGAGCGGGAGGGGCACGGGGAGCACAGCGCGGAGAGCGAGAGGTGGGGGCCTCGGGGGAGAGGGGAGGGGCACCGGGGAGCCCAGCGCGGAGAGGGCGAGGAGGTGGGGGCTCGGGGGGAGGGGAAGGGCACGGGGGGGAGGGAGGGGCACGGGGGGGGAGGGGAGGGGCAGCCGGGGAGCCAGGACCGGAAGAGCGAGAGTATGGGGGGCTCGGGGGGAGGGGAGGGACACCGGGAAGCCCAGCGGGAGGAGCGAGAGGGGGGGCTCGGGGGGAGGGGAGGGGCCCGGGGAGCCCAGCGCGGAGAGCGAGAGGTGGGGGCTCGGGGGGAGGGGAGGGGCACGGGGGGAGGGGAGGGGCACGGGGGAGGGGAGGGGCACCGGGAGCCCAGCGCGGAGAGCGAGAGGTGGGGGCACGGGGGGAGGGGAGGGGCACGGGGGAGGGGAGGGGCACTGGGGTAGGGGCACGGGGAGAGGGGAGGGGCACCGGGGAGCCCAGCGCGGAGAGCGAGAGGTGGGGGCTCGGGGGGAGGGGAGGGGCTCGGGGGGAGGGGAGGGGCACGGGGGGAGGGGAGGGGCACGGGGAGAGGGGAGGGGCACCGGGGAGCCCAGCGCGGAGAGCGAGAGGTGGGGGCTCGGGGGGAGGGGAGGGGAGGGGCACGGGGGAGGGGAGGGGCACGGGGGTGGGGGGCACTGGGGGAGGGGCACGGGGGGAGGTGCACGGGGAAGAGGGGTGTGCATGGGGTTGGGGGCACGGGGGTAAGGGGAGGGAGGGGAGGGGCACAGGGGAGAGGGGGGGGGCACGAGGGAGAGGGGGCGAGGAGTAGCCGAGCGCGGAGAGCCAGAGGTGTGGGGGGGGGGCATGGGGGGGGGAGGAGAATGGGGGAGCCGAGAACAGAACCCGAAGGGGGGGCACAGCCCACTCTTGCTCACAGCAGTGGCAACCATCTGACGATCATGAGAGATCGTAGCGGCGATGATTCCGGTGATGATGATAGCAATGATGGCGATCCATATCATAGTGACAATGTCCATGACAGCGGTGATGATGGTCATGAAATAGACGGTGATGACACCGCTCCACACGAGATCTTACATCCCAAGGCATTGTTCACGTGAAATGTTTAATTATGTTTTTAAAAAATAGACGGCGATGCCAGTAAATGATGATTATTACAATAATGAAGGGTGATGATAATTAAGGCAGATGGCTAGTGGTGCTGGTGATGATGATAATGATGATCGTGGTGATGGTAATGATGAGGAAGATGGTGGTAATGATGATGGTGATAATGATGGTGGTAATAATGATGGTGGTAATGATGATGATGGTGGTAATGATGATGAAGATGATGATGGTGGTAATGATGATGATGGTGGTAATGATGATGGTGGTGGTAATGATGATGATGGTGGTAATGATGATGATGGTGGTGGTAATGATAATGATGCTGACGAAGACCATGATGATGATGATAACGATGATCTTGGCCATCAAACAGGATCTCCTTCCCTGAAGAGCCTCCGGACGCCCCCCCGAGAAAAGTGGTCACGTCCGGGCGCACGAACGAGACGATCGTCCTGCAGTGGCTGCCCCCCCTCGAGAGCCAATGGAACGGGCCGCTCAAGGGCTACCTCATCAGGTGCCCGCTAACTTGTGTGTGGTTCATCTTCTTGGTTCTTTCCATAAAGTCACGTAGGAGGAAAAAAATAAAATAATATAAATATAAAACAAGAACATTTTCTTGCTGTGGATTTCACACCTGATGATGATTGCTTGTGTTGCAGTCGAAACGTCGTGATAATTTTTTATTGTTTTATATTTTTATGATTTTATTATTTCCCTTCTACGTGACTTTACCGAAAGAACCAAGAATATGAATCCCTGCAGTCACGAAAGCTTTAAATCAAAATCGGTGTGTGGTTGTCTACGACCTGCCTGTGGTTGCCTACGACTTGCCTGTGGTTGCCTACGACCTTGCGTGTGGTTGCCTACGACTTGTGTGACGTATGGCTCGGGCATGTGGACACTGAAAAGCGAAAAGCGGCATGAGAGGCTGCAGGTCTTCATCCAAATCCGAGATTGTAAAAAATATTGGAAAGTTTTAAAAAGCAGTGTAACAACAGCAGCTGGAATTCCAGACTGAGTGGTGTGCACTCTCTCTCTCTCCCGGTCTCTGTGTCTCATTCTCTCTGTGTCTTTGTGTCTCTCTCCCGGTCTCTGTGTCTCATTCTCTCTGTGTCTCTGTGTCTCTCTCTCGGCCTCTGTGTCTCATTCTATCTGTGTCTCTGTGCGTCTCTCCCGGTCTCTGTGTCTCATTCTCTCTGTGTCTCTGTGTCTCTCTCCCGGTCTCTGTGTCTCCCGGTCTCTCTGTCTCTCTCTCTGTATCCCTCTCTGTCTCTCTCCCTGTCTCTATGTGTCTCTCTGTGTCTCTCTCCCTGTCTCTCTCTCTCTCTGTATTCATCTGTCTCTCTCCCTCTTTGTTTTTATCCCTGTCTCTCTCTGTCTTTCTCTGTCTCTCTCCCTGTCTCTCTCTCCGCGTCTCTCTGTCTCTGTCTCTCCCGGTGTCTCTGCAGGTACAAGCTGGCCGACTCAGGCGCCGACTACCAGTACAAGAACCTCCCCAACGCGGAGCTGGGCAGCTACGTCCTGGAGGAGTTGCGAGTGTGGACCGGCTACGCCATGGCCGTGGCCGCCTACAACGGCGCAGGCCTAGGGCCTACAGCTCGCCACCGGCCCGCGATGCCACGCTGGAGGGAGGTGAGGGCTAGCCCCCCCCCCCACTGGGCGTCCTCACCAGGCACTCACTCACCCATCACTCACCTGTCACTCACCCATCACTCGCCACTCATCCGTCACTCATCCATCACTCATATCAGTACTCGGCACACATCACTTATCACACGTCACTCACCCATCAAAACTCAACACTCGCCCGTGACTCACCCGTCAGTCACTCCCCCCATGTCTCAAATGAGTACCTGGTGCAGTGGTGTGTAAACATCACCACTGGAGAGACAAAGGCGGCCGGGCGTGGTGCTGGCCAACCACCCCTTCGACGCCGATGATGATGTCGACGACGGCGATGATGATGTCGACGGCGACGATGATGACGACGATGACGATGATGATGTCGACGGCGATGATGATGATGACGACGATGATGATGATGACGATGGTGATGACGACGATGATGATAATGATGATGACGACGATGATGATGATGACGATGGTGATGATGATGACGATGATGATGGTGATGACGACGATGATGATGACGACGATGATGATGACGATGATGATGACGACGATGATGATGACGATGATGATGATTTCGACGATGATGATGATGATGATGACGACGATGATGATGACGACGATGATGATGACGATGATGATGATGACGACGACGATGATGATGACGACGATGATGATGATGATTTCGACGGCGACGATCGCGATGTGACAGCGCGCGCCTAAACGTGGCCCCCGCTCACGCCCCTCGTTCCCGTGCAATCCGCGTCGCGTTCTTTTGGCCAGAGGCGCCCTTGATCAGCAGCTGCGGGAACTCTGCGAGCATTTATTAAATGTTAATTGCTGGCTAATTGAACATTACTGGGGGAGAGGGGGGCAAAGGGTGGGCACTCCGCTTCGCTTTAATTTGCGTGGCATGAATAAGGTATGAACGATAAGAGCTCCGTACCTCCTCGTGTCTCTCTCTCTGTCGATGGCCGTGTAACACGAGGTGTGTGTGTGTACGTGTCTGTGTGTGTACGTGTTTGTGTGTACGTGTTTGTGTGTGTATACGTGTCTGTGTGTGTGTACGTGTTTGTGTGTGTGTATACGTGTCTCTGTGTGTATGTGTTTGTATGTGTGTGTGTATACGTGTCTCTGTTTGTACGTGTCTGTGTGTGTGTATATATGTGTCTGTGTGTGTGTATACGTGTCTGTGTATGTGTATATACGTGTCTGTGTGTGTGTATATATACGTGTCTGTGTGTGTATATACGTGTCTGTGTGTGTGTACGTGTCTGTGTGTATACGTGTCTGTGTGTGTACGTGTCTGTGTGTGTATACGTGTGTGTGTACGTGTCTGTGTGTGTGTACGTGTCTGTGTGTGTGTACGTGTCTGTGTGTGTACGTGTCTGTGTGTGTGTACGTGTGTGTGTGTCTGTGTGTGTATACGTGTCTGTGTGTGTGTACATGTCTGTGTGTGTACGTGTCTGTGTGTGTATACGTGTCTGTGTGTGTATACGTGTCTGTGTGTATACGTGTGTGTATACGTGTGTGTGTATACGTGTGTGTATACGTGTCTGTGTGTGTATACGTGTGTGTGTGTATACGTGTCTGTGTGTATACGTGTGTGTATACGTGTGTGTGTATACGTGTGTGGTTCCCCTCTTTAAGAAGGGGGACCGTACCGACTGTAACAACTACAGGGGCATCTCACTCCTCAGTGTGCCGGGTAAGGTCCTGGCAAGGATTATTCAACATCGCCTTGCTAGGCACGCTGAGGAGAGGCTTGCGGAGCCCCAATGCGGTTTCAGGAAAGGGCGGTCCTGCACAGATGCCATATTTTCTGTCCGTCTGCTACAGCAGAGGTGTAGGGAATTCCAAAAAGACCTACATCTCTGCTTTATTGACCTGGTCAAGGCCTATGATACCATCAGTAGGACTGGGCTCTGGGTTGTTCTTCGTGCTTTCGGAGTCCCTGACCCTCTGCTCACGATCATTAAGGACCTTCATGATGGTGAGCGGGCCCGGGTAAAACTACGTGGCCGGGAGTCGGAGCCTTTCCCTGTACACCTTGGGGTGCGACAGGGATGTCCTCTGGCTCCCACATTATTTAACATCTATTTTGACCGCGTAGTTCGTGAAGCCTTCAATAGCTGTACCGGGGGAATTTCTATTTGGTACAGATATAATGGGAGGCTGATCGACGCCCGGGTGCGATCAAGGGATGGCTCCCTATTGGTCAACCACGTTATGTATGCCGATGATTTGGTAATAGCTGCTCATTCAGAAGAGGAGTTGGAGACGCTGCTGCTGAGACTGGAGCGTGCCACTAAGAGGTGGGGCCTTACCATCAGCCCCACCAAAACTAAGCACCTGCCTGGGTATTTTGTACCATCGAACACTCCACCCCCACAACTCCCAATTGGTGATGGGGCAGTTGTGGAGAGAGTGGAGAGTTTCCCATACCTGGGCAGTGTGCTTATGACCGGCTCCAGTCTATCAGCAGAGGTCTCACTCCGAATCAGTCGAGCGGCAATATCTTTTCATCGGTTGCGTAACGCTGTGTGGAAGCTACCTGGTCTGTCGCTCCGCACGAAGCTTCAGGTCTTCTCGGCCACGGTCATTCCCTCCCTTCTCTACGCTTGCGAGACGTGGACCCCCCTGGTGGAGCATCTTCGCCGGTTGGAAACATTTAGGCTGGCCTGCCTACGATCCATCCTGGGTTTAACCAGGCTGGATTGTGTGAGGAGCTCACAAATCCTTGAAAGATCTGGGCAAAGTCCCATCAGTGAGCTCCTCCGGCAGGCAAGGCTGCGTTGGCTGGGTCATGTAGCCCGCATGCCCAGCCACCGCATGCCTAAACAGCTTTTGTTCGGCCGGATCGAGGGGGCTAGACGGGCGCGGCACGGGCTGGAGAAGAGATGGAGTGATGTGGTACAGGAGGACGTGGAGCTGAGTGGACTTGCCGATGACTGGTACCAGCGGTGTCAAGATCGGCCTCAGTGGAGGAGGCTCGTGAAGGACGCTACTGGGCAGTTGGAGGCAGTCGCCCTCCAACAACAACGGAGGGCGGAGGAGCGACGCTCACAACAACGAGCGGAGCGCCGGGTGGCTAAAGCACAGCAAGTTGGCACAGTAGGGGGCACAGGTGGTGCATCAGCCAGTCATCTCGGTCATCTCGGTCAGTCAACCCGTGGCACCTGGGTCTGCCCCGTGACCTCCTGCCAGCGGGCTTTCGACACTTCACGTGGCCTCAAGGTGCACTTGGCCTGGCACAAGCATCGTGGTGACGTCACCGCCACTTAGTGGCGAATGGCGGTTGTTGTTGTTGTTGTATACGTGTCTGTGTGTGTATACGTGTGTGTATACGTGTGTGTATACGTGTCTGTGTGTGTACGTGTGTGTCTGTGTGTGTGTATACGTGTCTGTGTGTGTGTATACGTGTCTGTGTGTATACGTGTGTGTACGTGTGTGTGTGTATACGTGTGTGTGTGTATATGTGTGTGTGTGGCCAGGTGTGGTGCTGCCCACCCACCCCCTCGTGTGCCATGCCAGCCTGCACAGGTGCTCGCTAGCAGCACTTGCCCGAACAGTCTGTTAAGGCTATGCGGGGGATCTTTGTCTTCGTGTGTGTGTGTGGATGGGGAGCGGTGGTGCAGCGGTTTGCGCGCTGCGCTACGAACCCGGTTACGTGAGTTCGATTCCCGCTCATCTGAACCGGACCTGGGCATCCCCTAGGTCGACTCAGCCTCAAATGAGTGCCTAGTCCAGTGTGTGAACATCGCCACTGGGGAGACAAAGGCGGTCGGTCGTGGCGCTAGCCACCCACCCCCTCGTGCAATGTCCCGGCAATTAATAGGCGCTCGCCAACAGCACTCGCTCCGTCAGTCTGTTGCAGGCGATGTGAGTGGGAACTTTGCCTACGTTTATAACAGTTATCATGTTCAGTGAACCCAGGGCCTTGCCAGCACTTCACGTGGCCTCCAAGTGTACCTAGCTTGGCGCAAGCGCCGTGGTGATGTCACTGCCGCTAAGTGGCTGCTGCTGCTGCTTCTGTTGTTGTTGTTTGTGCCTCAGTCCCCACAGCGCCACCAGAGAGGGTCCAGGCTGAGGCCGTCAACTCAAGCGCCATCAAGATTACCTGGCGACCTCCAGATCCACTACGCACCAACGGGATCCCTCGCGCATACAGGGTACCCACTGATCCCCCAACCAGTCACTCAGACACCCGACTAGCCACCCAACCAGTGACTCAGACACCCAACTAGCCACCCAACCAGTCACCCAGACACCCACTGACCCCCCACCCAGTCACCCAGACACCCACTGACCCCCCCACCCAGTCACTCAGACACCCAACTAGCCACCCAACCAGTGACTCAGACACCCACTGATCCCCCACCCAGTCACTCAGACACCCACTGATCCCCCACCCAGTCACTCAGACACCCAACTAGCCACCCAGCCAGTGACTCAGACACCCACTGATCCACCCACTCAGTCACTCAGACACCCACTGACCCCCCCACCCAGTCACTCAGACACCCACTGATCCACCCACTCAGTCACTCAGACACCCACTGATCCCCCACCCAGTCACTCAGACACCCAACTAGCCACCCACCCACCCAGTGACTCAGACACCCACTGATCCACCCACTCAGTCACTCAGACACCCACTGACCCCCCCACTCAGTCACCCAGACACCCACTGACCCCCCACACTCAGTCACTCAAACACCCACTGACCCCCCCACCCAGTCACCCAGACACCCACTGATCCCCCCACCCAGTCACCCAGACAACCAACTGATCCACCCACCCAGTCACTCAGACACCCACTGACCCCCCCCCCCCCCACCCAGTCACCCAGACACCCACTGATCCCCCCACCCAGTCACCCAGACACCCACTGACCCCCCTACCCAGTCACCCAGACACCCACTGACCCCCCCACCCAGTCACTCAGACACCCACTGATCCCCCCACCCAGTCACTCAGACACCCACTGACCCCCCTACCCAGTCACCCAGACACCCACTGACCCCCCCACCCAGTCACCCAGACACCCACTGAACCCCCCCACCCAGTCACTCAGACACCCACTGACCCCCCACCCAGTCACTCAGACACCCACTGACCCCCCCACCCAGTCACCCAGACACCCACTGAACCCCCCCACCCAGTCACTCAGACACCCACTGATCCCCCCACCCAGTCACCCAGACACCCACTGAACCCCCCCACCCAGTCACTCAGACACCCACTGACCCCCCACCCAGTCACTCAGACACCCACTGACCCCCCCACCCAGTCACTCAGACACCCACTGACCCCCCACCCAGTCACTCAGACACCCACTGACCCCCCCACCCAGTCACCCAGACACCCACTGACCCCCCCCACCCAGTCACTCAGACAACCACTGACCACCCACCCAGTCACCCAGACAACTGACTAGCCACCCACCCAGTCACTCAGACACCCACTGACCCCCCACCCAGTCACTCAGGCAACCAACTAGCCACCCACCCAGTCACTCAGACACCCACTGACCCCCCACCCAGTCACTCAGACACCCACTGACCCCCCACCCAGTCACTCAGACACCCACTGACCCCCCCACCCAGTCACCTCAGACACCCACTGACCCCCCACCCAGTCACTCAGACACCCACTGACCCCCCACCCAGTCACTCAGACACCCACTGACCCCCCCACCCAGTCACCTCAGACACCCACTGACCCCCCCCACCCAGTCACCCAGACACCACTGACCCCCCCACCCAGTCACTCAGACACCCACTGACCCCCACCCAGTCACTCAGACACCCACTGACCCCCCCACCCAGTCACTCAGACAACCACTGACCCCCCACCCAGTCACTCAGACACCCACTGACCCCCCCCACCCAGTCACTCAGACACCCACTGACCCCCCACCCAGTCACCCAGACACCCACTGACCCCCCACCCAGTCACTCAGACACCCAACTAGCCACCCACCCAGTGACTCAGACACCCACTGATCCACCCACTCAGTCACTCAGACACCCACTGACCGCCCCACCCAGTCACTCAGACACCCACTGACCCCCCCACCCAGTCACCCAGACACCCACTGACCCCCCCACCCAGTCACTCAGACAACCAACTAGCCACCCACCCAGTCACTCAGACACCCACTGACCCCCCCACTCAGTCACCCACACACCCACTGACCCCCCCCCCCCCCCACTCAGTCACTCAAACACCCACTGACCCCCCCACCCAGTCACCCAGACACCCACTGATCCCCCCACCCAGTCACCCAGACAACCAACTATCCACCCACCCAGTCACTCAGACACCCACTGACCCCCCACCCAGTCACCCAGACACCCACTGATCCCCCCACCCAGTCACCCAGACACCCACTGACCCCCCTACCCAGTCACCCAGACACCCACTGACCCCCCCCACCCAGTCACTCAGACACCCAGTGATCCCCCCACCCAGTCACTCAGACACCCATTGATCCCCCCACCCAGTCACCCAGACACCCACTGACCCCCCACCCAGTCACTCAGACACCCACTGAACCCCCCCACCCAGTCACTCAGACACCCACTGATCCCCCACCCAGTCACTCAGACACCCACTGATCCCCCCACCCAGTCACTCAGACACCCACTGATCCCTCACCCAGTCACCCAGACAACCACTGACCCCCCCACCCAGTCACTCAGACACCCACTGACCCCCCCACCCAGTCACTCAGACACCCACTGACCCCCCACCCAGTCACTCAGACACCCACTGACCCCCCCACCCAGTCACCCAGACACCCACTGACCCCCCCACCCAGTCACTCAGACACCCACTGACCCCCCACCCAGTCACTCAGACACCCACTGACCCCCCACCCAGTCACTCAGACACCCACTGACCCCCCCACCCAGTCACTCAGACACCCACTGACCCCCCACCCAGTCACTCAGACACCCACTGACCCCCCACCCAGTCACTCAGACACCCACTGACCCCCCCACCCAGTCACTCAGACACCCACTGACCCCCCACCCAGTCACTCAGACACCCACTGACCCCCCCACCCAGTCACTCAGACACCCACTGACCCCCCACCCAGTCACTCAGACACCCACTGACCCCCCCCACCCAGTCACCCAGACACCCACTGACCCCCCCACCCAGTCACTCAGACACCCACTGACCCCCCACCCAGTCACTCAGACACCCACTGGCCCCCCCACCCAGTCACTCAGACAACCACTGACCCCCCACCCAGTCACTCAGACACCCACTGACCCCCCCACCCAGTCACTCAGACACCCACTGACCCCCCACCCAGTCACTCAGACACCCACTGACCCCCCCACCCAGTCACCCAGACACCCACTGACCCCCCCACCCAGTCACTCAGACACCCACTGACCCCCCACCCAGTCACTCAGACACCCACTGACCCCCCACCCAGTCACCCAGACAACCACTGACCCCCCACCCAGTCACTCAGACACCCACTGACCCCCCACCCAGTCACTCAGACACCCACTGACCCCCCCCACCCAGTCACCCAGACACCCACTGACCCCCCCACCCAGTCACTCAGACACCCACTGACCCCCCACCCAGTCACTCAGACACTCACTGACCCCCCACCCAGTCACCCAGACACCCAACTGACCCCCCACCCAGTCACCCAGACACCCAACTAGCCACCCACCCAGTCACTCAGACACCCACTGACCCCCCCACCCAGTCACTCAGACACTCACTGATCCCCCCACCCAGTCACTCAGACACCCACTGACCCCCCACCCAGTCACCCAGACAACCACTGACCCCCCCCACCCAGTCACTCAGACACCCACTGACCCCCCACCCAGTCACCCAGACACCCACTGACCCCCCCACCCAGTCACTCAGACACCCACTGACCCCCCCACTCAGTCACTCAGACACCCACTGACCCCCCCCACTCAGTCACCCAGACACCCACTGACCCCCCCACCCAGTCACCCAGACACCCACTGACCCCCCCACCCAGTCACCCAGACACCCACTGATCCACCCACCCAGTCACCCACACAACCACTGACCCCCCCCACCTAGTCACCCAGACACCCACTGATCCACCCACCCAGTCACTCAGACACCCACTGACCCCCCCACCCAGTCACTCAGACACCCACTGACCCCCCCACCCAGTCACTCAGACACCCAACTAGCCACCCACCCAGTCACTGAGACACCCACTGACCCCCCCACTTAGTCACTCAGACACCCACTGACCCCCCCACCCAGTCACTCAGACACCCAACTAGCCACCCACCCAGTCACTGAGACACCCACTGACCCCCCCACCCAGTCACTCAGACACCCACTAACCCCCCCACCCAGTCACTCAGACACCCAACTAGCCACCCACCCAGTCACTGAGACACCCACTGACCCCCCCACCCAGACACCCAGCGATCCCCCCACCCAGTCACTCAGACACCCAGCGATCCCCCCACCCAGACACGCAGACACACGCCCAGACACTCGGGCACCCAGCAGAGTGAGCTGCAGCTTTGGGTGCGAAACGTAAATGGCCATCGTTTATTTATTTATTTAGCCCCAATTACCGCTGGCTCGTTAAGTGGCGGCAGAGGCGGTCGAGGTAACGAGGCTGACGCCGTTTCTCGGGTCACGTTGGGCCTCTCTGTCGCTCAAGTGGCTCGCGCTCACGGGGGGGGGATGCGTGGGGGGGGGGGCTCTGTTGCCATGGTGACGCTGTTGCCTTGCCCCCCCATTACCCCCCCGCCCGCTCCCCGGCTCCCAGCTGTTGGTACGTCGCACCTCCTCCGTCGCCAATGACGACGACGATGATGAGGATGCGGGCGCGGCTGCCGATTGGCTGGTGGCGCCGGACTCCTCCGACCCCCTGCACGTTGCCGTGGCGACGGGGCTGCCCGCGTACACGGAGTTCGCGGTGACGGTGCGGTGCGCGACCTCGCCGGGAGAGGGGCCCGAGAACGCCCCGCCGGCACGGGCACGCACCCTGCACGACGGTACGGGCGAGAGAGACAAAGGCGGCCTCCCATTCCCTACCCCCCGACACCACAACCACTCTCCTACCCCTCCGCCGCCTCCCCCCCTCCCCCACGCCAGCCCCTCCCCTCGGCTCCCCCAGGACCCCCTCCTCCCCATCCCGACGACCCCTCACCTCGCCCCCCCCTACCCCTCCCCCTCGCCTCCCCCGCATTCTCACCTCCCCCAGGCCCCCCCCCCCCCCACCTTTCCCGACGAACCCCTCACCCCGCCCCCTCCCCTCGCCTACCCCCCCCCACCTCCTACCCCCTACCCCTCCCGCCGACCCCCAGTACACAGACAAAGATCCCCCGTATAGCCTTCAACAGACTGTTGGGGCAAGTGCTGTTTGTGAGCATCTATGAAGGCGGAGACAGCACACGAGTGGGTGGATGGCCAGCATCATTGCCCGGCCGCCTTTGTCTCCCGAGTAGCGATGTTCACACACTTCACCAGGTACTCATTTGAGGCTGAGTCGACCTAGGGGAGGCCCGGGTAGTCGGATTCGTAGCGCTAACCGCCACACTGCGTGTACAACAACAGCTGCCATTCGCCAATAAGTGGCGGTGGCATCACCACGACGCCTGTGCCAGGCTAGGTGCACGTTGAGGCCACGTGAAGTGCTCGAACGCCCGCCGGCAGGAAGTCACGGGGCAGACCCAGCAGGTGCCACGGGTCGACTGACTGAGATGTACACAAACATGCACACGAGAGTACACGTGCACACGTGCGTGCACAGAGGCAAGGCTGATTGGTCAAAATGCCTTCCGTGAACTCGCTGTCCAAAGTGGCCCCGCGGGAGAGTCACCGCTGACTTTCGTGCCCAAGTGGCTCATGGCACGCCAGGATGTGGAGCCGAGTGGACTTGTAGATAACTAGTCCCAGCGGGGTCACGGTCGGCCTCTGTGGAGTGGAGAAAGGAGGAGGAGGGAGGCGGAGGAGGTTCGTGGGCATTTGGGGGCATTCGCCCTCCAGCAACAGAGGAGGGCGGGTACATCGCAGCACCTCGGCACACCGTGGGGGGCACGGGCGGTGCGTCACCTCGGTCAGCCAACCTATGGCACCTGATGGGTCTGACACGCGCGACCTCCTTGCCAGCGAGCCCTCGACACTTTCACGCGATCGCCTCGAAGAGCACCCAGCCTGGCACAATCGCTCCGGTGATATCACCGCCAGTCAGTGGCGAACGGCGGCTGTTGTTCGTGTGTCGTTGTGGTGGTGGGGAGCGATGGTCACCCTGGTTCGATGCAACAGAACTCGGATATTTGAACCGGTCCTGGGCCTGTCCTAGGTCGACTCAGCCTCAAATGAGCATCATCAATGCTGGGGAAACAAGGGTGACCGGGCACGGTCCTGGCCACCCACCACCTCGTGTGCCATGTTGCCCTTCACAGGTGCTACTCGATTTGAAGCTTTCGTGACTGCAGGCATTCATCTTCTTGGTTCTTTCGGTAAAGTCACGTAGAAGGGAAATAATAAAATAATAAAAATCTAACATAGTAAAATGCAATTCTCACGACGTTTTGGCCACAATGCAAGCAGCCGTCCTCAGGTGAAGAACAGGTCTGTCGGAAAGACAGCGTCTGAATGAACACCACCAAGCTTGGCAGCGTATATTTAAGCTTTTCTTCACCTGAGGACGGCTGCTTGCGTTGTGGCCGAAACATCGTGAGAATTGTATTTTATTATGTTTTATATATTTTTTATTTTTTTATTTCCCTTCTACGTGACTTTACCGAAAGAACCAAGAAGGTGCTACTGGCTGAAGGAGCACTTGCCTCACCAGTTTATTGAAGGCCATGCGGGGGATCTTTGTCTTTGTGTGCCCACAGTTCCGGGCCGCGTGGAAAACCTCACGATGAGCGATGTGGAGGGCTCCACGCTGCGTCTCAGCTGGGACGAACCCCGGCGCAAGAACGGGGTCCTCCTGGGTACGCGTCCCCTCGCTCCCCCAACTCTCTCCACCCCCCCTCCTCCCTGAAACCCCCCCTACCCCCCTCTCTCTCCCCCCCCCCCATCTCCCCCTCTCTCCACAACCCCCACCCCTCCCCATCCTCTCTGACTCCAAACAAGCTCGCTCAATGAGAGAGTGAATCTCAATGGGCACCCCCCCTTTTCAACTCCCTTCAAGGGAGACGAAGCTATTGGCTCAGCTGTGGTGGCGTGCATCGTGGTGGTGTTGTGTTGTGTGGTGTGCGATGTGGTGGACGGTGAACAGGCCACAGGCATGTGGGGGTATGCGGGGTGTGGTGTGTGTGGTGTGTTTGGTGGCTCGTGTGGTGGTGTGTATTGTGCAAGGCCGTAGCCATGGAATAAACATTGGGGGGGGGGACCAAATCTTCCAGGGTGTCTGGGGATCCCAACCCAGAAAAATATCTAAATTTGAAAACTCATTTCCTGCCTAAAATATAAAAAAAAATCACTAACACATGGGATGGAATTTTTTTTTATTTTTTACAATAATGTTGAATAGTGTATTGTATTACATTGCTCTGTTTTTACTTTTTTACCATTTCTTGTGTCATTGTATGTAATGGCAGAGATTAGGGATGAATAGAGTACAACCATAACCACAATCATATAAACAGAAATCTATGCGTTTATTTATATGATATTGTGGCCAAAGTTTAGCAAATTGTTGTTTTTATTTACATAGCATAGCATTTTTTTCACAGCAATATATTGGGGGGGACATTTTGAGCATATTTGAATATTGGGAGGGGATGTCCCCCCCAATTTATATTATAATCACGGCCCTGGTATAGTGGTTCGATTCCGCACTCGTGACCAACACCGGTGACGATTATCCGAACCGGTCCCAGGCCTCCCCTAGGTCGACTCAGCCTCAAATGAGTACCTGGCGCGACGTGTAAAAAAAAAAGTCTCCACCGAGTGAGACACATGCGCCGTGCCTCCCGTGCCCCTACAGCCCGTGCCCCTACAGCCCGTGCCCCTACAGCCCGTGCCCCTACAGCCCCTTAAGGCTATTAGGGTTGGGGGGGGGAGTGTTTCTTTACTCCTCTGTGTGATGGTGTGCACAGGCTACAGCGTGTCGTGGGAACAGGTGAACACGACGCACAGCCGCGTGACGCACCACCTGGCCGCGGGGATACAGCTGCATCGAGTGGGGGGCCTGGCCCCCCACTCTGCGTACCGCCTGTGCGTCACGGCGCGCACCGAGGCCGGCTCTGGCTCCCCGTCCTGCGCCACCGTCACCAGCGGAGTCGCGCCCGGTGCGTGCGTGATGCTGGTGGTGGTGATGTTGTGGTGATGCTGTGGTGATGATGTGGTGCCGTGATGAAGTTGTGGTGATGCTGTGGTGATGGTGGTGATGATGTGGTGCCGTGATGATGTTGTGGTGATGTTGTGGTGATGATGTGGTGCCGTGATGATGTTGTGGTGATGTTGTGGTGATGCTGTGGTGATGTTGTGGTAATGTGGTGTTGTTGTAGTGATGTTGTGGTGGTGTTGTGGTGATGTTGTGGTGATGTTGTGGTGATGCTGTGGTGATGCTGTGGTGATGGTGGTGATGATGTGGTGCCGTGATGATGTTGTGGTGATGTTGTGGTGATGTTGTGGTGATGTGGTGTTGTTGTGGTGTTGTTGTGGTGATGTTGTGGTGTTGTTGTGGTGATGTTGTGGTGATGCTGTGGTGATGGTGGTGATGATGTGGTGCCGTGATGATGTTGTGGTGATGTTGTGGTGATGTTGTGGTGATGTGGTGTTGTTGTGGTGATGTTGTGGTGGTGTTGTGGTGATGTTGTTGTGGTGTTGATGATGTTGTGATGTTATGCGATGTCGAAGCAGAGCAGCCCGGGGCCCCCACCATCGCGGCGGTGAGCACGGTGACTCCACGCTCCGTCGTGCTGCAGTTCCGCTCCGGCTTTGACGGGAAATCCTCCATCCTGCGCTGGCTGGCGGAGTCCCAGGTGACTCCTCAACATCCACCTCGTCGTGACGTCATGTCCATTGTCAACATCCACCTCGTCGTGACGTCATGTCCATTGTCAACATCCACCTTGTTGTGATTCAACATCCACCTCGTCGTGACGTCATGTCCATTGTCAACATCCACCTCGTCGTGACGTCATGTCCATTGTCAACATCCACCTCGCCGTAACGTCATGTCCATTGTCAACATCCACCTTGTTGTGATTCAACATCCACCTCATCGTGACGTCATGTCCATTGTCAACATCCACCTCGTCGTGACGTCATGTCCATTGTCAACATCCACCTCGTCGTGACGTCATGTCCATTGTCAACATCCACCTCGTCGTGACGTCATGTCCATTGTCAACATCCACCTCATCGTGACGTCATGTCCATTGTCAACATCCACCTCATCGTGACGTCATGTCCATTGTCAACATCCACCTCGTCGTGACGTCATGTCCATTGTCAACATCCACCTCGTCGTGACGTCATGTCCATTGTCAACATCCACCTCGTCGTGACGTCATGTCCATTGTCAACATCCACCTCATCGTGACGTCATGTCCATTGTCAACATCCACCTCGTCGTGACGTCATGTCCATTGTCAACATCCACCTCGTCGTGACGTCATGTCCATTGTCAACATCCACCTCGTTGTGATTCAACATCCACCTCGTCGGCACTCGACATCCATTCCTCTCTTGTTCCCTGGCACCAAATGAGGTCCCTCTCCTCTGTCTCCACCTCTCTCTCACCCTCTCCTCTGTCTCCACCTCTCTCTCACCCTCTCCTCTGTCTCCACTTCTCTCTCACCCTCTCCTCTGTCTCCACCTCTCTCTCACCCTCTCCTCTGTCTCCACCTCTCTCTCACCCTCTCCTCTGTCTCCACCTCTCTCTCACCCTCTCCTCTGTCTCCACTTCTCTCTCACCCTCTCCTCTGTCTCCACTTCTCTCTCACCCTCTCCTCTGTCTCCACTTCTCTCTCACCCTCTCCTCTGTCTCCACTTCTCTCTCACCCTCTCCTCTGTCTCCACCTCTCTCTCACCCTCTCCTCTGTCTCCACCTCTCTCTCACCCTCTCCTCTGTCTCCACTTCTCTCTCACCCTCTCCTCTGTCTCCACTTCTCTCTCACCCTCTCCTCTGTCTCCACTTCTCTCTCACCCTCTCCTCTGTCTCCACTTCTCTCTCACCCTCTCCTCTGTCTCCACCTCTCTCTCACCCTCTCCTCTGTCTCCACTTCTCTCTCACCCTCTCCTCTGTCTCCACTTCTCTCTCACCCTCTCCTCTGTCTCCACTTCTCTCTCACCCTCTCCTCTGTCTCCACCTCTCTCTCACCCTCTCCTCTGTCTCCACTCTCTCTCTCTCACCCTCTCCTCTGTCTCCACCTCTCTCTCACCCTCTCCTCTGTCTCCACCTCTCTCTCACCCTCTCCTCTGTCTCCACTTCTCTCTCACCCTCTCCTCTGTCTCCACCTCTCTCTCACCCTCTCCTCTGTCTCCACCTCTCTCTCACCCTCTCCTCTGTCTCCACTTCTCTCTCACCCTCTCCTCTGTCTCCACTTCTCTCTCACCCTCTCCTCTGTCTCCACTTCTCTCTCACCCTCTCCTCTGTCTCCACTTCTCTCTCACCCTCTCCTCTGTCTCCACTTCTCTCTCACCCTCTCCTCTGTCTCCACCTCTCTCTCACCCTCTCCTCTGTCTCCACCTCTCTCTCACCCTCTCCTCTGTCTCCACTTCTCTCTCACCCTCCTCTGTCTCCCCTCTCTCTCACCCTCTCCTCTGTCTCCACTTCTCTCTCACCCTCTCCTCTGTCTCCACCTCTCTCTCACCCTCTCCTCTGTCTCCACTTCTCTCTCTCTCACCCTCTCCTCTGTCTCCACCTCTCTCTCACCCTCTCCTCTGTCTCCACCTCTCTCTCACCCTCTCCTCTGTCTCCACTTCTCTCTCACCCTCTCCTCTGTCTCCACCTCTCTCTCACCCTCTCCTCTGTCTCCACCTCTCTCTCACCCTCTCCTCTGTCTCCACTTCTCTCTCACCCTCTCCTCTGTCTCCACCTCTCTCTCACCCTCTCCTCTGTCTCCACTTCTCTCTCACCCTCTCCTCTGTCTCCACTTCTCTCTCACCCTCTCCTCTGTCTCCACCTCTCTCTCACCCTCTCATCTCTCTCTTTTTCACGATCAGAGGAAACAAGAAGATGCTCGGTGTAGCCGGCACTTTGCTTCGTTCATCATTTCGGTTTTTTTTTCAATGCTTTGCTTTATGTGCCCCCCCTCCCTGTTTAAATGAAAGATTTCACAAAATATTTCACGCTCTGCTCTCCTCCTGCTTACCCCATCCCTCTTTCCCCCTCCCCCTTTCTCTACCCCCTCTCTCCCTACTCGAAATCTAGGTTCCTCTTGTTTTCTATGTAATAAAAAAAAAACTAATTACCACAAGTGCTGCATCTGCACCCAGCCCTTCTCGCAGTCCTGCGGCCTGCGACGATAGCTCGTATCTGCATGCAGAGCTCTCCATCTCTTCTGTCTCCACCTCTCTCTGTCCTCCTTTCGATCTCCTCTGCCTCGCACCAGCCACGCGGCATCCCGTACTCGTCGCCCTCTTTGTTGAGATCCATTCCTCACCTCGCCCAGTTCAGCACAGCCCGGGTGTGGTGCTGGCCACCCACCCACCTCGTGTGCCGTGCCGGCCTTCACTGGGATTTTTGCACACAGTGTTGGTGTACGGTGCTTTTTCTGCAATATTTTGCTGTCTTTTCTTGGATTTTTTGTTTGCACATAGTCACTTTAAGATGTATTCTTGTTCATGTTTTTGTTTATTGTTTGTTGCGGTTGCATCCGATTCAAGAGCCGAATGGCTCACAGGGCTATATACCTAATAAATGAACTTGAACTTGATAGGTGCTACTCACCGACAGCACTTGCCCTGACCAGTTTTTTGAGGCTATACCGGGGGGGGGGGGGAAACCTTTGTCTTTGTGTGCTCGTGCGCTGCTGCAGACCGGCCTGGTAGACGAGAGTGACGAGTGGAGCGAAGTTTTCGAGATGGACAACGACCCCAGCACGAGGTCGATCGAGATCCCAAACCTCAACCCCTACACCTTCTACAGGTGAGGCTCACCCCAGCCGCTCCACCCCCCAAACCTCAACCCCTACACCTTTTACAGGTGAGGCTCACCCCAGCCTGCTCACCCCAACCGCTCCACCCCCCAAACTTCAACCCCTACACCTTCTACAGGTGAGGCTCACCCCAGCCTGCTCACCCCAGCCGCTCCACCCCCCAAACCTCAACCCCTACACCTTCTACAGGTGAGGCTCACCCTAGCCTGCTCACCCCAGCCTGCTCACCACAACCGCTCCACCCCCCAAACCTCAACCCCTACACCTTCTACAGGTGAGGCTCACCCCAGCCGCTCCACCCCCCAAACCTCAACCCCTACACCTTCTACAGGTGAGGCTCACCCCAGCCTGCTCCACCCCAACCGCTCCACCCCCCAAACCTCAACCCTGACACCTTCTACAGGTGAGGCTCACCCCACCCTTCAACCCATCACCCCACTTTTCAACTCCTCACCCTCCCACTGGACCTGCCTCACTTCCCCATGCGGCTCCTGTCTCCTCTGTCACCTTCCCCCCTGTGAGATGATAAGAGGTCAAATTAAAAATTCGCGCATTCCATCCCAGGATCCCAATGGGCAATGCATGGAAAGCAGGAAACTAAAACGGAACCAGGGGCAGCCGACCTCACTAATGCGGGAAGGCCACTTGAAAGAGATTGGTTTTCAAAGCAAACTTCAATATATCTACCATCTCTGACTTCCTGATTTCCAAGTAGCGAGGCGTTCCATAGCTTGGGTAGCACGCTAACAAAAGTCCGCTCACCAAAAGAGCGCAACCTCGAGATGACACCCCCCCCCCCCCCCCATTGAGATGACCCCTCCTATTGAGATGACCCCCCCATTGAGATGACCCCCCCATTGAGATGACCCCCCCCCATTTAGATGACCCCCCCATTGAAATTACCCCCCCATTGAGATGACCCCCCCCCCGTGTCATCACCATGGGGGTACAGGTTCCGCCTGCGCCAGGCCGGCGTGGGGGGGGTGAGCGCCCCCAGCCTGCCGAGCCGCTGGATCCAAACGCTGCCGGCGCCTCCCGACGTCCCCCCCCAGAACGTGAGCGTCCGCACGGCGGGCGCCACCAGCCTGTGGGTGCGCTGGGTGGTGAGTGGCTTTCCTGCACAACCTCGGCACCGGCAATCGCAGCGGTGGCGGCGGCGGCGGTGGCGGTGACGGTCGCGGTGATGATGGTGGTGGTGACGGTTGCGGTGATGTTGGTGGCGACGACGGTGCTGGTGGTGGTGGTGGTGGCGGTTGAGGTGTTGACGGTAGCGGCAATGATGATGGCGGTAGTGGTGGAGGTGTTGGCGGTGATGACGGTGGGACCAGTTCGTGGTGGTGGTGGTGGCGAGGGACGCGGGGAGTGAGTGCGATGCATCCCCACCAACGCCGCGTCTCCTCCGCGTGCGTAGCCGCTGGCCGAGTGGCAGTACAACGGCATGCCCGAGTCGCTCGGCTACCGCATCCGCGTGGTGCGCGCCAGCGGGCCCTCGGAGCCGCCCGTCGACCGCACGGTGCCCGACCGCTCGGAGCGTGAGGCCACGCTGGCGCCGCTGCGGCCGCACGTGCCCTACGAGGTGCGCCTGCAGGCCTACAACGCCGTGGGCTCGGGGCCCTGGAGCGAGCCCGTGTCGGGGTTCACCAAGGAGGCCGGTGAGTCACGGAGTGGCGCCGAGGGGGGGCGGGGCGGGGGGGGGGGGTTCATCGCAGAGCCACGGGCCGGCAAACCAAGCATAACAAGAAGAGCCGTTCGGCTATTCGTTCGAATTCGGTACAAAAACTTCAAGAGCAGAGACAGGGATCATTAAGACACCTTCTTCATTCTCACACGTCAGGCAACTACAAACGCCCTCCATGCTTACACGCTAGTCGCACATCCGTCTCATTCGACGGCGCTGCCTAGCTGGCACGGTTGGCAGGCGGTCTAGCTGGCGGCGTCTCAAGATGGTTAAGACTGCGGTGAACGAAGGTGACGAACAGCGACTCGGCGAGGGGAGATCCACTTCCAGCAACAGCCCCGAGCTCTCGCCCCGGGGCTCCTTTTACCCTCCAGGGGCGTGGCCTCGCTCCGCCCCCACCACGCCCCCTTTCTGGAACCTACTGAGCTTCTCTTTAGTTCTCCTCACCCCCCCCCCCCCCCCGGTATATACTCCCTCTGCTGACGTGTGTACTGCCCTCTGCCTGTCAATACCACTTTTCCGTCGGCAGGCAGCGTTATTACACTACACGTTACACTACGTCGCGAAGCAATTCCTTAAAGAGCTGCATGTGGCCTCCGAAGCCGCAGGTTGCCGACCCCTGGTGTAGAGGGTGGCACAGGGCTGACACGGGCTGACACGGGCTTGTACACGGGGTGGCGTGGGTTGGCACGTGGTTGGCACGGGCTCACACGAAGTGGTGCGGGGGTTGGCATAGATCGGCACAAGGTGGCACGGTGTCACACGGGGGGTGGCACGAATTGACATGGAGTTCGGGCACGAGGTTGGCACGGGTTAGCACAGGGGTGGGCACGAGTTGACGAGCTGCAATAACCCACCGCCCCTCCTCCCCGCCACAGCCCCGTCCGCCGGTCCCTCCGACGTGAGCGCCAACGCCACGGGGCCCACGTCCCTCCTGGTCGACTGGGGGCCCGTCCCGGAGGCCCAGCGCAACGGACTCATCCTGGGCTTCAAGGTGAGCGCCGCTCACCTTGCCACATGGCAGGGTCACCACCTACGGGCTCCTCGCCCCGGGCCTCGCTAACGCCCTGGATGTGTTATCGGGCGCCGATGGGGCAAGATGTTAACTACCTCGCCTGGTATACACGAGGTCGTGGGTTCGATCCTGACAATGTCGACGCCTGCTGTATATTTGGAGTTTTTAGCTCTCTCTCTCTCTCCCTTTACGTGGTCAGGTGGATTTTTCTCCAAAGTCCTCCGGTTTTTTCTTCCGCGTTTAGAATCAACATCGCGCGTTTAGAGTATTTGGCTGATATACATTTCCAATTGATGAGCCACTTCAATGGGCTGATATTCGTGATGGCCAGATCGCTTCTGAAAAAGAGCTGTGCAGCTCAGTGGGGCCTTACCTGGTAAAATAAATAAAATCGAGTTTTAGTTTCTCTTCACCTGGGCCCGAGGTGGTCGTCTTGACAACACTGCCCGCTGACGTCCCAAGCGCCTTGCGTGACAGGTGGTGGTGCCGGGTGGTGCCGGGTGGTGGGGGCAGTGGTGGCGGTGGTGGCACGTGGCCTGTACTCCAGCAGCGCTGTGGAGCAGCGTCGTGACCGATGAGCTACGAAGCCCTTTATCACAGACGGTTTCTGGCCGCACCTGGCGAGGTCACACTCGACGACAGAGTGACCCCGGTGACAGCCAGGTGGAGCGGCTACTCCTGCTGCTGCTGCTGCTACTGCAGTGGCACAGCGGTGCACCGGATCGGTTCCGGCCCCTTTACCCCCCCCCCTCCCACCTCGCCCCCCCAACCCCCACCGCTCACGCCGCAGGTGCTGTACCGGGCGGTGCCGCATCACAGCGCCAACGCTGACGCAGGAGATGGCGCAGACGGCCGCTATGACGGCGGGGGCGACGATCACGAGGAAGAGGGGGAAGCGGGGGAGGAGGAGGAAGATGAGGAGGGAGGAAGAAGAGGAGGAGAAGGAGACGCCTCAGAGGACGCGTGGCTCGTGAAGCTGGTGCCAGGCACGTGGGCGCGCCACGCGTCACTCGTGGGGCTGCGCAAGCACGCCGTGTACGAGGTGCGCGTGCGCGCCTACACGCGCGCAGGCGACGGCACGCGCGCATCCGAGCCCGCAGTGGCGCGCACGCTCGACGACGGTGAGCGCCGATGGCGGGGGGGGGGTGAGGGGGGGGTGAGGGGGGGTGAGGGGGGGTGAGGGGGTTAAGCGAAGTGGGGGGGGGGTTGAGGAGCTGTAGCTGAGGGGACAGGACACACGCATAAGCGAAGTCATCACTTTTTCAAGGCCTTGTGAAACGAGTGTTTGAGTAACAGTATACTATACGTGTGTGTGTGTGCGTGTGTGTGCGTGTGTGTCGGAGTCGTCGTAGGGGAGCGGTGGTGTAGCAGTTAGCGCTACGCTGCGCTACGAACCTGGCGACCCGGGCTCAATTCCCGCTCACGGCCAGCACTGGTGACGATTATCTGAACCGGTCCTGGTCCTCCCCTAGGTCGAATCAGCCTCAAATCAGTACCTGGTGCGGTGTGTAACCATCGCCACTAGGGAGACAAAGGCGGCCGGGCGTGGTGTTGGCGGTGGTGATGCTGCTGCCCGCCGGAACAGCGCCTGGCCCCACCAGTTGCTGACGGGAGGCTGTACGGGGGACCTTTGTCTTTGTGTGGGCAGTGCCGGGACCGCCGGGCCGGGTCCTCTTCCCGGACGTGAACGCGAGCGCGGTGCTCATGGTGTGGCAGCCCCCCTCCGAGCCCAGCGGCGTCATCCTCGGTACGGCCGCCTCCCTGGGGCGCCCCCCCCCCCTCCCCCGCCACTTTCACCCAACAAACCAGAGCAGGCCACCGCAACAGACACGAGAGGCTTTTGATGATCAGCCATGGTCAGTCCACTGCTGGATTGAGGCCTCTCTCCCTGTCCAAGCCGCCCGCCTCCACACGACCCTGCGCTGCGGCTTGCGGCAGTCCACCCGGCGCCTTACGCCCCCGCGCTGATTCCGTCGCTCCGTCTCCCCGGTGGAGGCGTCGTCCCTCGGCCACCTTCCAGCGTCCACCACCGTGGGGTGGACATGGAGCGGCCGAGCGCGTCCGCTGTTTTGACCCGCGACGGAGGAAGGGCGACCGCGCGCGGACTCGTCTCATCCAAGTCTCCCCTTCCCTGTGCCCCCCCCCGCCCCCCCACAAGGTTACAAGGTCTCCTACTGGCCCGAGTCGTCGAACCGGCGCGCGGCCATCGTGTCGGAGCTGGGCGCCGCGCCGCGCTCGTTCCGCGCCGCCGACCTCCTCCCCGAGTCGGCCTACCGCTTCCGCGTGCTGGCGCGCACGCGGAGGGGCTACGGGGAGGCCGCGGAGCTCTCCGTCATCGTCACCACGAGCCGAGGTGAGCGCCGCGGGGGGGGGGAAGGGGACACGCCACGCACGCGGCCCCCACTGCCAGGCCCGGCGGGTTGCCCGACCGTTCGTGGAGGCGCGGATGATTCGTGCACCAACAGCGGTCTCCCACGGAATTCTCCAAACGGCGCGAGACGTTTGCGAGCGTCAACCGATGAAGGCCACCACGGCACAACCACACGCCCGCCCTGCGCCCCCCCCCCGCCCCCCCCCCCCAGGTCGCCCCGACGCTCCCAGCCGCCCCGTGCTGACGCCACACGCGGCCGTGACGGCGCGCGCCGTGACGCTGAGCTGGGGCGCAGGCGGGGACCACGCGGCGCCGCTCCGACACTTCACCCTCCAGACGCGTGCCACCGGCACGGGCGGCACGGGCGGACAGCGCGGGGGGACGGCGGCGGCTGCGGCCCCCTCCGGCGGCGGGCCACAGGCGCCGGGCAGGGGCTGGAGGACTCACGTGGCGTGGATCCCTCCGAACCTCACCGCCTTCACCGTCACGGGGTGAGCGTGTGTGTGGTGGAGCGAGCGAGCGTGCGTAGCGTGTGTGTGTGTGTGTTGGAGCGAGCGTGCGTAGCGTGTGTGACGATTATTTGAACCGCTGCTGGGCCTCTCCTAGATCGACTCAGCCTCAAAACGAGTACCTGGTGTGGTGCGTACAAACATCGCCACTGGGGAGGCAAAGGCGGCCGGGCGTGGTGCTGGCTACCCACCCCCTCGTGTGCCGTGCCGGCCTTCGTAGGTGCTGCTTGCGAACAGCACTTGCCCCGACAGTCTGTCAAGGCTGTAGGGGGGGGATCTTTGCCTTTTCGGTGTGTGTTGAGAGCGTGCGCGCATATGTCTGTGCGTGCGTGCGTGTGTCCATGCGTGCGCGTGTCCGTGCGCGTGTGTCTGTGCGCGTGTGTCCGTGCGTGCGTGTGTGTGTCCGTGCGTGCGTGTGTGCGTGCGCTGCGTGCAGGCTCAGGCCGTACACGACGTTCCGTTTCCGCGTCTCAGCCACGAACGACGTCGGCGCGAGCGGCTGGAGCGAGGAGTCGGAGGAGATCGCCACCCTGCAGGCCGGTGAGCGACCAGCGCCCCCGTCACTCTTCATTCCATCGTGGCCTGGAGCGGGAGTCGAACTCGCCGATCCGCCGGGTTCATAGGGCAAAGCGCTGACAGCTGCCGGTTACTGGATAAGTTGCGCGAGGTCTCCGCCGTGCTTGTGCCAGGCTAGGTGCGCTCTGGCTTGGTGTGTTTTTGGGTTCGTCCCGTAACGTCCCTGCCCGCTCCTCACCTTCCGATCCCCGACCCCAGCGCCGGAGAGACCCCCCAGGATCGTGCTGGTGTCGCCGCACAGCACCACGTCCGTGCTGCTCAAGTGGGAGGTAATGGAGCACCGCACCAGAACCACGTGTCTCCACCCAGCTCCAGCCACACGCAGGCGGGCACACGCAGGAGCGCACACGCAGGCGGGCACACGCAGGAGCGCACACGCAGGCGGGCACACGCAGGCGCGCACACGCAGGCGGGCACACGCAGAGGCGCGGTGGTGCTATTAACGCGCACGTTTGAGTGGGGTGGCGACACGAGCCGAGCGTGGCTGGGTAGGAATCATCGCGGGGTCCGTCCTGAGACGATTGAAGTGCGACTCCGACTCCGACATCTATCGCGGTTCTTCACTGTTACTTACTTCCCCCCCCCCCCCCCCCCCCGTGATGTCGCTGTACCTTTTGCTCTCCTATTAACCTACCACGAGTGCGTTTAACTGTTTATTTATCATTTTAAATATTCATGCGGTTTATTTCTGTTTTAAATACAGAGAGAGAGAGGAGTGGGTGAGCAACGCATTTCCCGACGGCAGCCCCAAAGCTCATTTGCAGCAGCGATTTCCCTCCCGCCTCATTAGCAGGGCGCCTCGACTCCCGGCGTCAATAATCCAGACTCTGACAAAATAAATGAACGATTCCTCATCTCTGCCTCCTCCTCCTCCCCTCCTTGCTCATTGCTCCTCCGTGCTCGCTGTAAGATTTGTGGCTGTTTTAATATTTATGGTGGCAATTTGCAAGTCGGTTAGGGGGGGTTGGGGGTTTGTCATTCCCAGAATCCGCGACCATCATCGCCTCCTCCACTCTCACCACGACCATCATCACCACCACCACGACCATCATCACCAACACCACTCTCACCACGACCATCATCACCTCCTCCACGACCATCATCACCACCACCACTCTCACCACCACCATCATCACCTCCTCCACGACCATCATCACTTCCATCACTCTCACCACCACCATCATCACCACCACCACTCTCACCACCACCATCATCACCTCCTGCACTCCTCACCACGACCATCATCACCTCCTCCACGACCATCATCACTTCCATCACTCTCACCACCTCCGCCACTATCTATTGCCACCACCACCGCATTCACCTCCTCCACTCACCCCCCACCCCACCTCTGTCCGCCCGCCTGCTCGGTGCTGATGATGGCAGGGGAGGGGGGGGCTGAGGGTTGGGGGGATTAGCACCGCGTGTTCTCGGCTCGGATCGTTGGCGTCACGCGTAATTACGCGGCCCGTGGGCTCAATGGCGGCGTCAATACGGCGCATCAAAGTGGGATTACAAGTTTCCAACGGTAATTATTTGTTGCGACTAATTTATCAGTTTTTTTTATTTGTGTCTGTTTCGCATGCTCACTCTGATACATACGCACACACGCGCCCACGTACGAACACACGAACAAACATTGCATGAACATCATCGCACGCGCACACACTATCGAACTTTTGTTTGCACACCTGCACGCACACGCACATACACGTCTACACACACGTGTGCACATACGTGTACACGTGTGTGTGTGTGCACACATACGTGTACACACACACACGTGTACACACACACGCGTGCACACACACACACGTGCACACACACACGTCTACACACACACACGTCTACACACATATACACGTCTACACACACGTGTACACACACGCGTGCACACACACACGTGCACACACACGTCTACACACGTCTACCCACACACGTGCACACACACGTCTACACACACACGTGCACACACACACACGCGTACACACACACGTGTACACACACGTGCACACACACGCGTGCACACACACACGTGCACACACACGTCTACACACGTCTACCCACACACGTGCACACACACGTGCACACACACACGTGCACACACACACGTGTACACACACACACGTCTACACACACACACGTGCACACACACACACACACGTCTACACACACACACGTCTACACACACACACGCACTGGCAGCCCCCGGAGGCGGCGTCTCTGAACGGGGTGCTGCTGGGGTACCGCGTGCACTACCGCGAGGTGGCGGACGCGGCCACGCCGGCGGCGCCCCCCAGCGCGCAGCCCTCGCAGCCGGGGGGCCACGGGGGGGGCGCCGGGGGGGGCCACGGAGGAGGCGCGGGGGGTGCGCACGCCCAGAGCGCGCTCGCCATCAACCCGTCGCCCATGCAGGCGCAGCTGCTGTGTGAGGACGGAGCGCGCTCCTCGCCGCACGCTCGCGACACCGCGCTCGCCACGCGCCGCACTCGGCACACACACACACACAGGGTGCACACACACAGGGTGCACACACACACACACAGGGTGCACACACACACACAGGGCGCACACACACACACACAGGGTGCACACACACAGGGTGCACACACACACACAGGGCGCACACACACACACAGGGTGCACACACACACAGGGTGCACACACACACACAGGGCGCACACACACACACACAGGGTGCACACACACACAGGGTGCACACACACACACAGGGTGCACACACACACACAGGGTGTACACACACACAGGGTACACACACACACACACAGGGTGCACACACACACAGGGTACACACACACACACAGGGTGCACACACACACAGGGTGTACACACACACAGGGTGCACACACACACACACAGGGCGCGCACACACACACAGGGTACACACACACACAGGGTGTACACACACACAGGGTGCACACACACACACAGGGCACACACACACACAGGGCGCGCACACACACACAGGGCGCGCACACACACAGGGTACACACACACACAGGGTGCACACACAAACACAGGGCGCGCACACACACACACAGGGAGTACACACACACACACACAGGGCGCGCACACACACAGGGTACACACACACACAGGGTGCACACACACAGGGTGCACACACACACACACACAGGGTGTACACACACACAGGGTGCACACACAGGGTGTACACACACACAGAGTTCACACACACACAGGGTACACACACAGGGCGCACACACACACAGGGCGCACACACACACAGGGTGCACACACACAGGGTGCACACACACAGGGTACACACACACACAGGGTACACACACAGGGCGCACACACACACAGGGCGCACACACACACAGGGTGCACACACACAGGGTGCACACACACACAGGGCGCGCACACACACAGGGTGCGCACACACACAGGGTGCACACACACACAGGGCGCACACACACACAGGGTGCACACACACACAGGGCGCACACACACACAGGGCGCACACACACACAGGGCGCACACACACACAGGGTGCACACACACAGGGTGCACACACACACAGGGCGCGCACACACACAGGGTGCGCACACACACAGGGTGCACACACACACAAGGCGCACACACACACAGGGTGCACACACACACAGGGCGCACACACACACAGGGTGCACGCACACAGGGCGCACACACACACACACAGGGTACACACACAGGGTTCACACACACACAGGGCGCACACACACACACAGGGCGCACACACACACACACAGGGTACACACACAGAGAGGGTGCACACACACACAGAGTGCACACACACACACAGAGCGCACACACACACAGGGCGCACACACACACAGGGCGCACACACACAGGGCGCACACACACACACACAGGGCGCGCGCACACACACACAGAGCGCACACACGCAGGACGCACACACACACACAGGACGCACACACAGGGTGCACACACACACAGGGCGCACACACACACGCAGGGTGCACACACACACACAGGGTACACACACACACGCAGGGCGCACACACGCACACAGGACGTACACACACAGGGTGCACACACACACAGGGTGCACACACACACACAGTTTAAGATCCCCTCCCCCCGTATAGCCCGTAACAGACTGCAGGGGCAAGTGCTGTTAGCGAGTAACACGAGGGGGGTGACGTAGCCAGCGCCACGCCCGACCGCCTTTGTCTCCCCAGTGACGATGTTTACACACCACACCAGGTACTCATTTGAGGCCGAGTCGACCTACGGGAGGCCCACATACTCTCACAAACTTACACAACGCATGACAGACCACGCTACGATCGCAGTAAGATGGTGATGGTGATGATGGTGATGATGATGGTGATGATGATGGTGATGATGATGGTGATGATGATGATGGTGATGATGGTGATGATGAGGATGATGACGGCGTCCGAGACGAATCCCCGTGCCCTGACCCTCGTGTCTCTCCCTCTCGTTGCTCTCCCCGCGCAGCGAAGTACGACACGAAGATCCTGAACAACTCCTCCATGCGGCGATACGAACTCTCTCGTACGTGACACGCGCACGCCACACACACGTGCGTCATCGTAGTCGTCATCGTCATCATCGTCGTCGTCATCGCCATCATCATCGTCGTCATTCCGCAATTACTCTCCGCTCTTAACGGCTCATTGGACTTCATTAGCGCGCAGGCTCAGGGTGTCGTGCCTTGGATGGTAATTAAGCGACACGGTCGCGCGCGCGCGTGTGCGCTTGCGTGTGTGCGGTGGTGTAGCTGCGCCATGAACCCGGCGGCCCGAGTTCGATTCCTGCTCACGGCCAACACCCAGCGACGATTATCTGAACCGGTCCTGGGCCTCCGCCGAGGTCGACTCAGCCTCAAAATGTCTACCCGGTGCGGTGTGTAGTAAAACATCGCCACTGGGGAGAAAAGGCCGGGCGTGGTGTTGGCCACCCACCCCCTCGCGTGCCGTAGCCGGCCTTCGTAGGCGCTACTCGCAAACAGCACTTGCCCCAACAGTCTCTTAAGGCTACACGGGAGGGGGGGGGGTGGATCTTTGTTCTCGAGGAGCGTGCACGCGTTGCGTGTGTGCTGCCCTGCGTCTACGAGGTGCGCGCGCGTGCGAGATGAATGCGCTGCGAGCGTGGGCTGTGAGTGGCAGTGCGGAAATGGGAACCGGGTTGCCCAAGGCCGTGGGTTTGGCAGAGAAAGTGTTCGTGCTCCTGGTTGCCCGTGCCCCCCCCCCCCCGCCTCCTCCGTGACTCCCTGTGCACCCAGCAGGCATTGTTCGTCTTGCCTGCGCCCCGTGCTTGATTTCAGACTTCAAATGAGCAGCGCTGGGCAGCCGTGTCAGACCAAAGCAAACAAAGCACGAGAAGAATAACGCGCGCGCGTGTGGTGTGTGTGGTGTTACTGTTTTGATCTCTGTGTGTGTGTGTTGCCGTGTGGGTGTGTGTGTGTTGGCGTTTGGATCTGTGTGTGTGTTGCCGTGTGTATCTGTGTGTGTGTGTGTTGCCGTGTGGATCTGTGTGTGTGTTGGCGTGTGGGTCTGTGTGTGTGTGTGTGGTGTTGCCGTGTGTATCTGTGTGTGTATATATTGGTGTGTTGGGCAGCGGTAGTGTAGCGGTTAGCGCGCTGCGTTACGAACCCAGCGACCCGAGTTCGATTCCCGCTCACGGCCAACGCCAGTGACGATTATCTGAATCGGTCCCGGGCCTCCTCTAGGTCAACTCAGCCTCAAATGAGTACCTGGTGCGATGTGTAAACATCGCCACTCAGGAGACAAAGGGCGTGGTGCTGGCCACCCACCCCCTCGTGTGCTGTGCAAGCTTCACAGGTGCTACTCTCTAACTGCACTTGCCCCAACAGTCCGTTCAGGCTGCACGGGGGCAGTCTGTGTCTTTGTGCTCACTGTGTGCGTGTGTGTCTCTGCGTGTGCTCAGAACTCACGAAGTTTCGCCGCTACGAGGTGATCGTCAGCGCCTACAACGCCGCAGGGGAAGGACCCCCCACGGCTCCCCTCCAGGTGTACGTGGGGGAAGCAGGTAACCCCCCCCACCCCACCTCATTAAACACACACAAAGTTTGAGGGCTCCCCGTATAGCCTACACATACCGCTTGGGCAAGTGCACCGATTAAGGCTGGCAAGATGCACGAGGTGTTGGTGTAGCCGACGTATGTGCACGCCACCGATTGCTCATTTGTGGCTGAGTCGATCTTGTGGCCGCCGGGGTGGTTCAGTCCTTCGTCACCGAATGTTAGTCGCGAGCGGGGATCGAACTCGCGCCCCACGGGGTGCGTAGCGCAGGTGCGCGCACCGCTCCGCCACCGCTCCGCAAGCGCGTTGCGTACACGCGCACTGACAAAGACACGATCCTGTAGCCTTAACGGGCTGTTGGGGCAAGTGCTGTTCGTGAGCACCTCTAGAGATTAGCACGGGTGGGTGGCCAGCACCACATCCGGCCACATTTTTTTCTCCCGAGTGGCGATGTGTGCACATCGCGCCAGGTCCAGCACTTATTTGAGGCCGAGTCGACCTAGGGGAAGTCCAGGACCGGTTCAGATAATCGTCACTGGTGTGTTGGCCGTGAGCGAGAATGGAACTCGGGTCACCGGGTTCGTAGCGCAGCACACTAACCACTACACCACTGCTCCCCACGCTAACAAATACAAACCAAGACAAAGATCCCCCGTATAGCGTGCACACACTTTGCCCATGTGCGTAACTGACCGATTGTTTTAACTTTTTGCACGATTTTCCTTTTCCCGGTTGGGCCACGCAAGTGCCCTCGGCGCCCCCCCAGAGCGTAGTGGTACGGCCGACGAGCTCCACTCAGCTGGAGGTGACGTGGGACCCCCCTCCTGCTGGAGCGCACAATGGAATCATCCAGGGGTACAAGGTGAGTGGCTGACCTTGACCTCCCGCGGTCAGGGTTTCACTCGTGTTTTGCTTAGCTAGGGGAGAGCTCGAGAGTGACCTGGGTCACGAAATTGACCAACGCAACCGCGCCATAAAAGGAGATTTAAAAAAACACAGTGCACGGCCACAATGTTCAATAAATAAAAACGAACAACACAAGTTGGATTCTTGGACATCAAACTTTTAAAATCCATCCGTGGTAAAATAAAGTAACGGAAACACGAGCATAGATCGCTGGTGATTATTGCACGAGTATGCAAACTGGCAGGTTGATGTTAGAGAGGTCACGTCCAGTCGATGGGGGTGGTAGAGTACGTGCCATCATCAATTGCGTCTATGTGTGTGAGCGCGCGATTCGCTGAGTTTGTGAGTGGTGGTGAGTGCGTGTGTGTGTGTGTGCCTGAGTGGTGGTGAGTGCATATGTGTGTGTGCCTGAGTGGTGGGGTGGGTGTGTGCGCGCGTTTGTGTGTCTGTCTGGGGAGCGGTAGTGTAGCGGTTAGCGCGCTGCGCTACTAACCTGGCGACCCGAGTTCGATTCCCGCTCACGGCCATTTGTGACGGTTATAATTGTCTAAACCGGTCCTCAGACTCAAATGAGTACCTGTTGTGGTGCGTAAAAACATCGTCACTGGGGAGACAAAGGCGGCCGTGTGCCGTGCCGGCCTTCATAAGTGCTCGCTAACAGCACTTGCCCCAACAGTCTGTTAAGGCTATACGGGGGATTTTGTCTTTTTATCGCCTTCGTAGGCGCGCCGTGCCGGAATTCACAATTCGCTCGCTAACGACATTTGCCCCGACAACCTGTTAAAGATCACACGGTGTGGGTTGGAGGTGGTGGTGTTGGTGGTGGGGGCGGGGGGGGATCTTTGACTGTGTACCTCTGCGGGCCTCCTGTGTAGGTGTACTACAGCGACGCGGGGCGGCGCGAGGCCGGCGGCGCCGCCGCGCCGGAGAGCGCCCGGACGCTCTTCCTCCCCGAGACGAGCGTGCGCTTGCGCAACCTCACGGGCTACACGGCCTACGCGGTGGCCGTGTGCGCCTACAACTCGGCCGGAGAGGGGCCCCGCGCGGGGCCCGTCACGGCCCGCACGCTCGCCGCTGGTGAGCGGAAAACTCGCCCCGGTGCCGATCACTCGCTCGCTCGCTCGCTCGCGCGTGCGGGCTTCAGGTGCCAGTGTTGTCAGCGAGCAGCACCTATGAAGGCTGGAACGACGCGCGCCTATGAAGGGGTGGTTGTTGTCTGAAACCACGACCGGCCGGCCGCCTTTGTCTCCCCATCCTCCAATGCTGATGCTTACACACTCTGACCAGGTGCACTAACCACTGTGCCACCGTTCCCCACACCCACGCAAGCACGCACACACTCATCCATCACCCGTGCACCCACCCTCACCCACCCGTGCACTTGCACTCACCCACCCATGCACTCACCCAGCCACTCACTCATGCACCCACCCACACCCTCACCGTACACGCCTCTCCTCCGCCCCTAAGCGGGGTTGAGCCTGGTTTAGTGCCTGGATGGGAGATCCGCACCAGGGCTTGCCAGGTGCTGTAGGCGCGCAGTGTTCAGGCAGTGGCGGTGATGAGCGTCATCCCCTCGCACGGAGCAGCGCTGTGCCCAGGTGTTCTCCGGGGGCTCTGCGTTTGCCTCCCACGCGAAGCCGAACTCTCATTAATTGCGGAATTCAGGGCCAGGCGAGCAGATTTAGCGGTTGCCCCACTGAACAGGAGTGCCGGGCCTCGGTGAGGCATTGCTGGGCAAATGATTTCCATTAGATGTTAACAGGGCCCGGAGCAACGGGTACAGCGGAGATAACAGGCTGAGTGATAATGAAGCCGGCAACCTGAGTCGGATTGATTGATTTAGTGTAAGGATCTCAGCATCCCAAAGCGCATTGCTTTGCATCTCAATCATTCAATTTCCCCCATTATAATTGCCTCTTCCGCTCTAGTGGTGGGAGTTGTGGTGGTGCTCGCCTGCGCGGCGCGTGGCCTGTAATCCAGCACTGTAGAGGCAACGAGGGTCGGGGGGTCGCCACGTCAATGTTGTCGCGAAGCTCCCTTTGTGTGCGGAGGCGAGGAGGAGCCGTACCCTGGACGATGCCGGGGGAAGGAAGTACGGCAAAATAAAAAAAATACAATGTGGACTTCCACCTGTTCTGGCTGTATGGGATAGAGCGTTTCCCCCTCGCACGCGTGGGTTTTCTCCAGGTGTTCCGGTTTACACCAAAACGTGAGCACTTATTAGTTGTGCTGATAACACGTTGACATATTTGTAGGACCGCGAAGCTTGGGCAATTGTTGGTCGTGCAGGCCGCTCACCGCGTGGCTGCTGCTGCTGCCGCTGCTGCCTCACCGCTCATCTGCGGTTCCTCCTCCTGGCGCCTCTGAGTCATCCTCTGTCTCTCTCTCTCTCAACGAGAGTGAGGAGCGGAGTTGACATTGGCAGATTTGAAAAAAACGCCCTCATCATCCAGCAGTGGAGCGGCTGTCCACGTAAAAAGCTCAGCACAGCACGTTCTCTCCTCGCCTCACCCCCTTGCGTCGACCGCTCCGTGCTTGCCCCCCCCCCTCCCCCGTGCCCACGGAGAGGGTCCCGTCCCCCGTGGGGCCCGTGCCGTCATGCCGAATGGAATCGCGAATCGCGAATCACCGGCCCCACTAAGCGGTAGGCCGCGCTCGGCCCCGCGGCGCTTCGTGAAATGTTGAAGTGGCCCGCGGGCAGCACCGCTGGGGGCGGGGGCGGCGATCGGCCGCTTCACCCCCCCCCCCGCCGCCCTCCCCCCGGGTCGTGCTCCCACACACGGCGAGTGGCGAGCGAGGACGGAGGGGGCACGGACGGACGGACGGGGGCAGTGTCCCCCCTCGCTCCTGCGGTCCTCACTCACTCAAGGTTCCTGGTGACCCAGTGACTGGTTCCTGGTCCCTGGTGACCCAGTGACTGGTTCCTGGTCCCTGGTGACCCAGTGACTGGTTCCTGGTCCCTAGTGACCCAGTGACTGGTCCCTGGTGACCCAGTGACTGGTTCCTGGTGACTTAATGACGCTGCACCTGGAGACTCAGGGTCCCTGGTTCCTTTCGACTGCCACGCGCACGCCGTGCACAAGGCGCAGCTCTGTGTGGGTGAGACGATGGGAGGGGTAGAGGGGTAGGGGGGTAGCTGAGTTACCGTGCCACGGGAGAGCCCCCCACCCACTCTCCCTTAATGCTCACCGACAGCGAGTTGGGGGGGGGCGGGGGGGGCGTTTTGTATTTTGTATTTCCCTGCGAGCGACGCCAGGGGCCGTGCTCCGTGCTCAGCGTGAGCTGTGAGCTGAGCCAGACTCGCCCAGCCACTCGCACCTTGCAGCACACAGGCACATATCCTGCACCCCACACACAACCTGGCGCAATCAGTATTGGGGAGACAAAGGCGGCCGGGCGTGGTGTTGCAATGCCGGCCTTCGTAGGTGCTACGCGCTCCACGGAGGGTCCTTGTCTCGGTGTGCTGGAGGGAAGGAGGGTTGCCAACATTGAACATTCACGCGCCAAGGGCGCCGATTCGAGTGTTGTCAGCGGCTGAGAGTTGCGTGCGCGTGTGTGTGTTCTCACGCGCGTGCGTGCGCGTGCCCGCCTCCTTGGCATTGCCTCCACGTCCTGCGCGCCGTGCCCGGGTCGCGCTGCGTGGAGCTTGCGGCACTCAGCAGCAATGTCTCTTTAATGAGCGAGCGGGCGGGGTGCAGAACACGAGATAATGCCCCCCCCCCCAATCCCCCCCCCACTCCCATCCTCCCCCCCAAATCCCCCCCCCACTCCCATCCTCCCCCAATCCCCCCCCCAATCCCCTCCTCCCCCCTCAACTCCCCTCCTGCCCCCCCCATCCCCCCCACTCCCCTCCTCCCCCCACTCCCCCCCCCCAAGCCCCCTAGAACTCCCCTCCTCCCCCTCAACCCCCCCCCCAACTCCCCTCCTCCCCGCCAGCACCGGTTGGCAGATCAGATGGCGATCGTCATGCTGTGCCGATGACGGTGGTGGTGGTGTTGTTGTTGTTGTTGCTGTTGTTGTAGCACGTGGACAGGAGACGGCTCCGTGGGTGCGCAGAGTAGCGCTGTGCAGCGCGCTAACCCCTGCGCCACCGCTCCCTACTCACACTCCTGTGTCGTGCGCGCACACACGCATACACTCACACGCACACACGCACTCACACACACGCACTCACACACACACACACAATAATACACACACGCACACACGCACTCACACACACACACTCACACACTCACGCACTCACACACATGCACGCACACACTTACACACGCACTCACACACACACGCACTCACACACACGCACACACGCACACATACACACACACGCACTCACGCACGCACAGCCCCCTCCGCGCCCTCGTTCCTCAGGTTCTGGGACGTGACCTCAACGTCGCTGAACGTGACCTGGGGGCCTCCCGCGCAGCCCAACGGGGTCCTGTCCGGTTACCGCCTCGTCTACAAACCCTCGCTGCCCGTGCACGGTGGGTAGCCCCCCCCCCTCCCCCCCAACCCCCCTCCCCCCAACCCCACTCCCCCCCAACCCCCCTCCCCCCCAACCCCACTCCCCCCAACCCCCCTCCCCCAACCCCACTCCCCCCCAACCCCCCTCCCCCCAACCCCACTCCCCCCCAACCCCCCTCCCCCCCACCCCACTCCCCCCAACCCCACTCCCCCCAACCCCCCTCCCCCCCAACCCCCCTCCCCCCCAACCCCCCTCCCCCCTTAACCCCCCTCCCCCCAACCCCACTCCCCCCCCAACCCCCCTCCCCCCCAACCCCCCTCCCCCCCAACCCCACTCCCCCCCAACCCCCCTCCCCCCCAACCCCCCTCCCTCCCAACCCCCCTCCCCCCCAACCCCACTCCCCCCCAACCCCCCTCCCCCCCAACCCCCCTCCCTCCCAACCCCCCTCCCCCCCAACCCCACTCCCCCCCAACCCCCCTCCCCCCCAACCCCCCTCCCTCCCAACCCCCCTCCCCCCCAACCCCCTTCCCCCCCAATCCCCCTCCGCCCCCCAATCCCCCTCCCCCCCAACTCCCCTTCCCCCTCCGTGGCCCCATCCACACGCCCCCCCCCCCGCACCCTGAACCCCCTCGAGGTTGAGCTGGACAGCTCCTTGCGAAAGGCAAGGTGGCGGTGGTGGTGTGGTGAGTGTGGTGGTGGTGGTGGTGGTAGTGGTGTGGTGAGCGTGGTGGTGGTGGTGTGGTGGTGATGGTGTGTACGGGTGAGGAATGTGGTGAGTGTGGTGGTGGTGTGTACGGGTGAGGAATGTGGTGAGTGTGGTGGTGGTGGTGATGTTCACAGGTGAGGAATGTGGTGAGTGTGCCGTGGTGGTCGTGGTTGAACCGATCGCGCGGGTGAGCGTTCGCGGTGAGCGTGCGGTGGTCCGGCGGTGGTGAGCGTGCGGTGGTGAGCGCGTGTGCGGGTTGCGGCGCCGTGCAGGGGTGAGTAAGATCGTGAGTGTGGAGGTGAGGGCCGACGCTCCGCGCTGGCTCCGCGTCAAGGACCTGGCCCCCGCGCTGCCCTTCCAATTCCGTGTGCGCGCGCGGACCTTCGCGTTCGGGCCCGAGCTCGAGGCCAACGTGAGCACGGCGCCGGCACACGGTGGGTGTACACGCACACTCACACTTACACACACACTCACACACTCACACACACACACACTCACACACACTTGTACTCACACTCACACACACACTCGTGTACACACACTCACTGTCACACACACACACGTGTACTCACTGTCACACACACACGTGTACTCACACTCACGTGTACTCACACACACGTGTACTCAGACTCACACTCACTGTCACATACACACGTGTACTCACACTCACACACATGTACTCACTGTCACACACACACACACGCACTCGTGTACTGACACGTGTACTCACACACACTCACACACACGTGTACTCACACACACACTCACACACTCACGTGTACTCACACACACGTGTACTCACACTCACACACGTGTACTCACTGTCACACACACACACACGTGTACTCACACACACACACACTCGTGTACTCACTGTCACACACACGTGTACTCACACACGCGTACTCACACTCACACACGTGTACTGGCGTGTACGCAAGTGTAATTACACTCACTCACCTCTACTCACATGCCGTGCCGACCTTCACAGAGAGGTGCTGCTACTCGCTATCAGCAGCACTTGCCCCGACAGTCTATCAAAGGCTACACCGCGGGGTGGCGGTCTTTGTCTTTGCAGGCGCCCCAGGGCCCCCCGGCTCCCCCGTGGTGTACCAGTACGGCCACGAGGTCCACCTGCAGTGGAGTCACGGCGACCCGGGCCTGGCCCCCGTCACCGGCTACCTGGTGGAGGCCCGACCCTCGGGTACGTACGGAGCAGCAGGAGTAGCAGGAGGAGGAGCAGGAGAGGCTTGCGGAGGCCCCAATGTGGTTCGTGGCCAGGGCGGTCCTCCACGTCTGTCGTGGCAATAATCTCCGTCCGTCCGCCACGGCGGAGGTGAATCTGGAATTTCAACAGGGACCGACATCTCAGCTTCATTGGCCCTGGTCAAGGCCTTCGATATCATCAAGAGGCCGGGGCTTTGCGTTGTTGTTCTTCGTGCTTTAGGGGTGGGGGGGGTCCCTTGCCTCCTGCTCGTGATCAATTAGGACCTTCACGATGATGGGCAGGCCCGGTTGCGAGCTGCGTGGCTGGGAGTCGGAACAATTCCCTGTTCACGTTGGGGTGCGACAGGCATGTCCTTCGGCTCGTGCACTTGTTAACATACGGCTTGACCGTGTAGTTCGATACAAATTTCCATGGCTGTACTGGAGGAATATATCCATCTGGTGCAGGTACAATGGGAGGCTGATCGATGCCCGTGTGCGGTCGAGGGATGGCTCCCTATTCTACTCCCCTCCGTGCGCTCTCTCCGCTCCAGTAACCGTGGCCTTCTGTTGAATCGCCCGAGCAACTCTGCTCGGTGGGGGGTCACTCTTTCTTCTCTGCTGCCCCCACAGCCTGGAGCTCCCTTGCCCCCCCCCCCGCCCCCCGCCCCCCGCCACAACCAACACGGCCCAGCGGCAGCGCTAGATTCGCCGCTTGTCACAGAGCTCCACGGTTCGAATCGGGCGGCGGGCCCCGAGTTATTACTGCCGGCGCAGTGACCGTGGCAATTCCACGGCAGCGTGCGCCGTCTTGCTTCGCCTTGGCAGTGGAGACGTTAAAGACCCCCGTGGCGTCATTCGCAAGAGTCGGCCATCATGTGCCACAGGCGCGACAGTCCACATCTTTTTTTTAAAATCCTTTATATTAAGTTCGCTAGCTTGCTTGCTTGCGTGCTTGCGTGCTTGCTTGCTTGCTTACGACCGTGCAAATCTTTCGGTCGTTTTTTAACCCACTTCCCGTTATCCAATCGAGCTGACATTTCCACACAGACTCGTTGTGCGAGACAATTAATGTTCGTGAAAATTTTTTTCCAAAATTTTACACTGTTTAGGGAAAACAAATTAAATTTTTAATTACCAATTGCTTAATACTGGCAGACAATCATCTGACCCATAGGTGGCAGCCATCTCAATCCAGAGGACGAGAGGACTCTAGCCGCCACGCATATAAAGGATTTATAGTGAAAAACTTTGTTTTTACGGGTTATACTTATTACTCGTTTGGAATCTACCAACCCCAACCTACCGCAAACAAAAAAACTTTGGCAGGACCCTCCTGAAAAAAACTGCCATGAGACACGGCAAATCATTCATGGATCAACAAGCGAAGTCGTCGGTTTAACACGGAGTAGGCTTTCGTGACCAATAGTATCCATAATAGAGGGTTTTTTTGTGTTAGATCTCATAAATGTACACGACCTAACCCAAAATACCTCTTATCAAGCGAAGTAGAAGTAGTAATAACCAATAATGATGACGATTATTTGAATAATAACAGCCGTGCTGTTGACTCCGTTGCCCCAGTTTAAGGCCAGGCCCCCAGAGGCTTTCCCTCTTCGCCCTCCCAGTGACCGACTGCCTCTCTCCCACGCGATCCAACCCCCCAAAAAAACACGTGATGATCCATCGCTCGCGAAAGCCTACGACGTGTTGCCACCCTCTTTCTCTCTCTCTGTACCAGCAGTGGTTCTTCTTCTTCTTAACCTGCGGTGGCACGCACTCACTGGGGTTGTGAGACGCCCTTTCTGGGGGGTACGAGGCATGGGCAGGTTTTTTTTGTCGAAGGTAAATCGTCGACAACACAAATTAAGGAACGGGCACGTAAGTCACAACTTACTTCGTTTCATCAACCCCCTGTGCATTTACCAACATCATGACATAGTTTTTAACGACCGAGAACCCAAGGGGGTGTTGTGCAAGGCTGCAGCAAAGGTTACGAAGCACCCGCCCTGCGCAACAAGCGAGTTCACCGTGTCCCGTACGGAATCCGGCCGAGAAGCAGCGCTCCCCAATCCACGCCACCACTCTCCGATGTCACCCTGGGCCCCCCCCCCCCCCCTTGTGCGTGCCTCAGACGACGGCCTGTGGGACCTCCTGGCCAAGGACATCCCTCGCGAGGCGACGTCGCACTCGCTGCGCCCCGGCCTGCTCCGCCGGGGCCTCACGTACACCTTCCGCATGTCGGCCGTGAACCGCTACGGCTCGGGGACACCGGGGCCCCCCTCGCAGCCCCTCACCAGTGAGCACAGCCTCCCACCAGCAGCACTACCAGCAGCAGCAGCACCAGCACCAGCACCACCACCACCAGCAGCTCCACCACCAGCACCCCCAGCACCAGCACCACCAGCACCACCACCACCAGCACCACCACCAGCACCAGCAACAGCACCACCAGCCCCACCATCACGAGCACCACCACCAGCAGCACCACCACCAGCACCACCACCAGCATCACCAGCACCACCACCACCACCAGCACCACCACCAGCACCACCACCAGCACCACCACCAGCAGTACCACCACCAGCGGCACTACTACCACCACCACTAGCACTGACGTCATGATCGCCGTCATTATCGCAATCATCATCAACGTCACCCGTCAAGAATCACCGATCGCTTCACCGTCACCGATCACGAATCCACAGCCTCACCCGTGCTTAACACCACACTGGGTGACGAGAGACCATCTGCTGTACCCCCCCCCCCTGCCACCCCCGCTGCCACCCCCCCTGCCACCCCCCCTGCCACCCTCTGCCACCCTCTGCCACCCCCCCCCCCCTGCCACCCCCCCCCCCGCCACCCCCAGCGCACCTGGAGGCGGCGTTCTACGACGAGTGGTGGTTCCTGGTGGTGGTGGCGCTCAGCGGCCTCCTCCTCATCCTCCTCCTCGTCTTTGTCCTCGTCGTGCGCGGCCAGCGCCAGCGGCACAAGCGCAGGGCGCATTCCGGTGACGCACGCCAGCCCCGCATCGCCGCCAACATCATCATCATCACCGTTAACATCATCATCGTCACCGTTAACATCATCATCATCACCTTTAACATCATCCACGTCACCGTTAACATCATCGTCGACATCATCATCATCATCATCGTCGTAATCGTCGTCGACATCGTCGTCCAACATTATCCACATCGTTAACATCTTCTTAAACCCATCCACATGACCATTAACATAATCGTCAACTTCATCATCATCATCGTTAACATCATCGTCGTTAACATCATCCCCACCATCGTTAACATCATCCACACCATCGTTAACATCATCATCGTGAACATCATCATCATCGTTTTTATCATGATCGTGAACATCATCATCATCGTGAACATCATCATCATTGTGAACATCATTATCGTTAACATCATTCACTTCATCGTGAACATCATCCACATCATCGTGAACATCATCATCTTGAACATCATCATCGTGAACATCATCATCGTGAACATCATCATCATAGCGAACATCATCATCGTGAACATCATCGTCATCATCCACATCGCCGCCATCACCATCGTCGTCATCACTATCCCCCTGCCCCTCGTGACCCCGTGACCCCAGGAGCGGTGGTGAAGGGCGGCACGTTGGGGAACCAGGAGATGGTGAGTCTGGACGAGCGCTTCGCTGCCAGCCTGGAGCTCAGCGAGCGGCGCCTGCCCGTCAAGAACACGTTCTGCCACCCCAACGGAGCACCCTCCAGGTGACCCGACCAGACGAACACTCACACACTCGCCCGTACACTCACCTGTACACTCAAACACTCACCCGTACACACACCCGTACACTCAACCACTCACCCGTACACTCACTGGTACACTCACCCGCACACTCACACACTCACCTGTACACTCACCTGTAGACTCACCCGTACACTCAACCACTCACCTGTACACTCACCCGTACACTCAACCACTCACCCGTACACTCACTGGTACACTCACCCGCACACTCACACACTCACCGGTACACACACCAGTACACTCACCCGCACACTCACACACTGGGTAAGTGGGTGGGTGGGTGGACTGAGTGAGCGAGCCGTGTGGGTTGAATGAGTGCGCTGGGTGAGTGCGCTGGGTGAGCGTGCCGTGTGGGTGGGTGAGTGAGTGAGTGCGCTGGGTGAGTACACTGGGTGAGCGTGCCGTGTGGGTGAGTGAGTGCACAGGGTGAGTCTGCTAAGTGCCGGCTGCACCCCCCCTACCCCCCACCACCCACCCAGGTCCCCGTCGGACCGCAGCCCCACGTCGCTGGGCGTGGCGGAGGACGAGGCGCCCGCGCAGTACGCGGAGTTTGGCAAGAGCGACTCCCTCCTGTCGAGCCCCAGCCTCAAGCACAAGCTGTCCGACATCCCCGAGTCGCCGGTGAGGTCCGCTCGGCAGCGCCTGCGTGTGGCGCACGCACCCCGCTCGAGCACCCCGCCAAACAGCCCAAGGGGCTCGGAGCACCAAGATCGCCAGAGCCCGGATCCTGGGTTCTAATTAGGGGGTTCCAAGTCACCGTATGTGACCGTATGTGATTGAACCGCCCTCTAGAGCAAGTCACTGTGGACTCGCATGGAGGGCCGTAGACTCGCCCAGGGAACCACGGACTCGCAGACAGTCATAGACTCACATAGAGACCCAGAGATGTGTTGTTTTTTTAATGAGCCTGCGGGTGGCGGTGGAGGCGGGAAGGGAAAATCGACGTCTTTGGCGCGGAATCAGCCACCCGGGCCACCATCGCCATCTGCTGTTCCCCACGCTCGTTCGCTCGCCGCGCGAAACGGAGCGAGCGCCACGTGGGAGGGGAGACGCGGCGGCTGCCGCTGTCTCCGCTGCTAGCCGGGGCCCCTGTCGGCCTGTGTGCGATGTCTGCGCTGCACACACACAGACGCGTCGCTGTGACGCCAGACGGGTCCCATCCCCGGGGTTGTGCCGTGACTGAGACAGCTGAGTTGGTGGTGTGCGGTGTCTCGTTGGCACTGTGAGCTGGGAGCAGCCGCCAAACTTTGATGATCTTTTTTTTTTTTGGGGACACATTTCATATTTTTTTTTCGGTGGTGCTTCTGCTGCTGCTGCGACTGCTGCTGCGTTGGCAGTGGTGCAAAATCACAATTAGCAACAACAACAACTCAATACATCCATCAATAGCACTGTGTGTGGCCTTCAAAGGGAAAACAATATATAGCAGGCGACGTTCCGAGCAATGGCCCTTTTTCGTGTGTGTTTGAAGAAGGGCAATTGCACGAAATGTCTCACCTATTATATTGTTTTTTCCTTTTAAGGCCGCAGTGTTATTTGACGAATTTCACGTTGGGTTTTGTGCTTTTTAAAAAAAAATGTCACTCATTCTGCACTGCTGCCACCAATAATACGGAGTTTCTTCCCCCCAGCCACCCGTGCTGTCGACCCCCTTCTGCTGTTTACATGCTGACTCCAGACCTTACATTTTGGTCTCTACGCCGATCACCGACTTGCCTGACTCTTTTGCCCCTGTAAACAAGTTGCCCTGTTTCCATAGAGCTAGCTTGAGATAATAATCGTAGTTTAGTTCACTCGGCGTTTGCCTTGTTCTTGTAGCGAGCAAAGCTATCATCACTAAGGAAGGCGCTACTGTTTTTCACAGACGACTCAGCCTCAATTGAGGACCTGGATGCGATGTAAAAAAAAAAAAACCCTTCCGTGGGAGACAAAGGCGGCCGGGCGTTGTTCTGGCCACCCACCCCCTCGTGTGCAGTGCCGGCCTTCGTAGGCGCTCGCTAACGGCACTTGCCCCAACAGTCAGTTCTGTTGATAGCCCGTACGGGGGATCTTTGTCTTTGTTTGGCCTCCCCTCCCCCCGCCCGCTGGACAGGAAAACGGCTCAGGTGATGGCTTACGCGATAATCCTGGCAAACGGGTGCGAGCTGGGAGCGCTCGCCTCGCACAGTTAGTGCCGTGGCTTTTCTTTTTTCTGTGCAGGAGGACAATTTGCACGCGCGGATGTCGAGGTGCGGATTGGCGATTATGGGCGGGCGACAGATTGCGCAGCGCGCGCACAGGCAGACCGTGACACGCGCGGGGACATTTAATAAGAGCAACGCAATTTATTTTTTTATTCGTTTTTCTTCAGAACACCTCCTCTCATTAAAGCGGCTTCCAAAAATTGTGTAATTTGTAGCACAAAAAAAGGTAATAATAAGAATCAGCTGTACCCTAAGCGCACCTGTGTTAGCATAAGGCGTGTGCGTGAGCGTGAGCGTGCGGGTCCGTGCAGGAATGTCCGCGTGAGTGTCGATTTGTGTGCACGGACGTGTGCGGATGTGTGCGCGTGCGGTCCCAGTGTGTGTACGAGCAATAACAAGCGGCGAATAATTGCACCGGCCGTGGGCCTCTTCTACTTCAGCTCAGAGTTAAAAACGAGTACCTGGTGTGGTGTGTAAAAACATCGCCACCGGGGAGACAAAGGCTGCCGGGCGTGGTGCCGGCTACCCACCCCCGTCGTGTGCCAGTGCCGACCTTCGTAGGCGCTCGCTGACAGCACTTGCCCCAACAGCAGTCTGTTAAAGGCCGTGCCGGGGGATCTTTGTCTTTGTTCTCGTGCCAACGTGCGCCCGCCCGGAGCTCCCCACGTGGCCTCCCTCGCCGGCGTGGTGGTGCAACACCGACCCGACCTCAAATTCACCCACGACCACCAACCACGACCACCGCCAACTTCAGACGATTGTTGTGCCAGCGTGGCCCTGCGGTGTCTCAGACCCAGTGCCGGATTATCCTCGTTGCAAAAGTAGCTACATACTGTAGTAGCTACTACATATGTAGTAGTAGCTACTACATATTGTAGTAGCTACTACTAAATATTGTAGTAGCTACGGGCCAAGCACTTTCAAGGGCCCCGCGCTAAATGCTTTCAAGCTATCAATTCCGGTTCGGTGATTCTGCACTTGCTCTATTACTATAGTACTATACCGCCTTCAACTTTTACGAACGACCGGGTGTTTAAGGTTAGCGATTTGTCGCATTATCTGGCTGTATAGCAAATGAAAAAATACAATGACTTTACTGTGCAAGTAAAAATTCGTGTTTTAATATTTATGTGTTTATTTACTTATTTAGGGCCCCTTTGTAACATAAACTACAGGCCCCACACTAGCTTACTCCGGCACTGCTCAGACCCGTGGGGGGGGGGGGTATGGGGAGGGGGTGGGCTGGGGGTGCCTTTGCTTGCTCAGCAATGCCAGGAACCCCAGCCAGCACCCACCTAGGAACACCACTCAAACATCTAATTGTTGCTACTCTTTGGGTCTTTCGTTAAAGTCACGTTGATAGAAAAAAATAATTTATTAAAAATGTGTTGTTTATCGTCTCGCACGCGCTCGCTCGGTCGCCCGCTCAACCGTGCGCTCATTCACATCTCTCTCTGTCTGTGTGTGTGGCTGCACACGCGCTAATTGATTTATCGAGGCCGCTCCCTCCACCCACTGAGTGAACTCGATGGCTCAGGGCGATTTTGTGTGAGCCGGGGGGTGGGGGGTGGCAGGGCGTGAGGAAAACGTTCGGCCGGACCAGGGGCCGGCAAGCGACAATAGCAAGGGAGAGCCGCTTTCTTCGAATTCGGTGTTAATTGAACTCGGAATGTCAAGGGCCGCGATGCACCATGAACGATGTCGTGACGGAGCGGCCGAGGGGGGAGGCCCCGGTGGAAGAGGGGAGGGGTGGGGGCGGAGGGGGGAGCCCCCGGTGGGAGAGGAGGAGGGGTGGGGGCGGAGGGGGGAGCCCCCAGTGGGAGGGGGGAGGGGTGACCGCACTAAAATGCGTTAAACGCGGTGTATCGCCACAACTAGAGCGAGCTGACGCTGCTCTCACAGCATCCTCCGTCGGGGTGAGCCCGCACTGCGGCGTGGGCGCGCGCGCCACAAGGGGCCGCCGTCACGAAACGTATCTTCGCAAGGCCCTGGATGCTAAGGGGGGGGGGCGATTTTTTGTTTAAATTCTACGTGCGTCTAAACTGTTGTGACGCCCCCCCCCCTCTCCTCCCCCCTCTCCTCCCCCAACCGCACCCCCCTTTTCAACGCCAGCGGCAGCCGCGGGACATCGCTTTGAAGCCCGCTGACTCCGTTCGCTCGCCGATTTTCTCGTTACCTTGCTAATAGTTTTCCGAGCGATCCTAATTAGCGTGGGAGCTGTTGGGGAAGGTGGGGGGGGTAGGGGGGGACGGTGGGGGGGTGGGGGGGTGTCTCGGCTTTGATGTCCAAACAGCGCCGCCGTCTTTCGAGTTGGCTGAGAACGACGTCGACTTCTCTTCGCGACTCAAAGCGGTCGGGTGGGGGAGCGGCGGTGCCGGGGAGGAGGTGGTGGTGGGTAGGGGGGGGGGGTTGGTGGGGGGGTGGGTGGGTGGGAGGTGGCTCGGCGTGGGTGCGGTGATGAATGGAGCGCGGTGTCAATGGTTGACGCTCGGTTGATGTCACCGCCTCTGCCGCGGTGACGGCACCGTGAGCCGTGGTGAGACGGCGATGCGGGCTCTGGCACTGCTGTGAGTGGCGGCTGCGTCTGGGGGGGGGGGTTCTCCTGCCCACCACCTGCACTACCACCTGCACCACCACCAACACCTGCACCACCACCTCCACCAACACCTCTACCACCACCTGCACCACCACCTCCACCACCACCTCCTACACCTCCACCTGCACCACCACCTCTACCACCACCTCCACCACCACCTGCACCAACACCTGCACCAAAACCACCACCTACACTACCACCTGCACCACCACCTCCACCAACACCTGCACCACCACCTCCACCACCACCTCCTACACCTCCACCACCACCTGCACCACCACCACCACCTCCACCACCATCTCCTACACCTCCACCACCACCTGCACCATAACCTCCACCACCTCCACCACCACCCTCCGAATTTTTTAACTTTGGGTTCAGATTCTCTTTCGCTGACGTGCAATTTCCACACGATGTAAGGGAGCCACTTCTGTTGGAGCTATCATTTTGTGGCCGTGTCGCTTCTGGAAAAATAATTTTAATAGCTCAGTGGGCTTTACCTGATACAATAACTATATATCAAGTTGAGTTTCATTTCTATATTTTTGTTAAGTGATTTGTTTAATTTTCCTATACGTTGCACTCCAATCGTGTGGTTTGTACTGCTTGTTGTTGTGAACGTTCTTACCCGCCCTTACTGGACATGTTTAAAAAAAACAACTTCATAGCTCATCGGATTCCTCCAGTATAAATATTCAGACTTTCAATTCCGCTACAATGTGTGCCCCCCACCCTCCACCTCCCCTAACTCAGCTGAGCGAGCGAGAGAGCGAGTGCGAGGCGGAGGGACCCGCACCGGCACCCGCGCCGTCCTGCGACTTCGCCGGCGAGCCGGAGCCCGGAGCGCCTGCGGCTCACTCCTTCGTGGACCACTACGCCACCGAGGCGCCCTACTACGGCTCGTGGCGGAGGCAGCGGCCCAATGCGCGGGCGTGCTGCGGCGAGCGCGGCGAGGCCGAGGGGGCGAACCACGCGGTGAGGCAGTATCCCTCCGCCGAGGGCCTCGCCGGTCTGGGTCCGGGCTTCACCATGTCGGGATTCTCGTCCTTCGTGTGAGGGCGCAGCGACTCTGCTGGACAGCTGTGGCGGAGGTGGGGGGGGGGGCCAAGGGAAAGAGCTTCATAGCTCATCGGATTCCTCCGGTGTGAATGAATATTCTGGACTCGCGCGGAAAGATGACTGCACAACAAGTGGGGAGAGGTGTTGCTGCGGGGTTTTGTTTGGTGCGACGTCCTTGGAAGAGAGAAGGTGCACTTCAGGCGGGAACCTCATTGACAAACAAAAAACATTGTCCTCATCGCACGGAACACGACGGAGCGACGATGGAACTGAAGGGAAACAAACGCAACGCTGCAATAATGGAAAGGGGGGAATTCAACCTGACGACGCGGGGGGTGGAGTGGGGGGTCCTCGCTTGAGTCGGCGGCCCTCCGCGCAGCGGTGGCCTCGACAGACGTCGCCAAGTCCCCGGTGCACGGCCACCGCTGTTCTCCAACGCGACCGCTAACACCGCGCGTGAACAGCGGAGCTTCGAGGTGACAATAGAAATAAACGTGTTTTGACGCAGCAACGCTCCACTGTCCCGTCAACGCTGGCTGTCACACAGAGTCGGGGGAGGAGCGGGGCGGGGTGCTGTTGCAGACACTGGCAATGGTGTCTGGGGAGAGGCCTGCCTCTAAGACGTCCCCGAGAAATCGTTGCTCCCTGCCCTCGTCATTGCCCGCGATGGTGACAGAACAAACAGGAATCTTGCCATGGTGTGGTGACGGTGGAGGAGGAGGAGGCTGGGGAAGCCTCCTGCTATGATTCTGAACTGAATGGCAACGGGATTAGCTGCAGTGCACCACTCTCCCGGAAAACTTGAAAAACCAAAACGTCTTCATCTGCCGACGCCTTCTTTGAACGTGACCACACGAGTTGCTTATTTATTTGCGTTCTTGGTGCTGGTTGGTGGTGGGGGGGGGGAGGCATTGTGTTGTGTACGTCTGACAAGATCAAGATGACGGCATGGCATTATTGCGTTTTGGCTCCAGCGTGCCACGGGGTGGAGGGATGCCACGGCGGGGGAGAGGGGTGGCACGGGTCGCTTGGATAGCTCAACGCGAGATGGCACAGATGGTTTACCGCGAGATGGCACAGAGAGTTTACCGCGAGATGGCACAGAGAGTTTACCGCGAGATGGCACAGAGAGTTTACCGCGAGATGGCACAGAGAGTTTACCGCGAGATGGCACAGAGAGTTTACCGCGAGATGGCACAGAGAGTTTACCGCGAGATGGCACAACAACAAGTCTGGAGAGGAATGATCTCCATGCTCCCGACAGCAATCACAGAACTGCGCAAAACTTAAAAAATATTACATATATATTGTCGGTTTTTATTTTAATAGCACACGTGTGAATATGTTTGACTCGTGGAGGAGGGGCGGGCGGGGGAGGCACCTGGAGACGATCACGCGGTGGAATTTTGGTGACATCCGCGCGTGGTTGGGCGTGATCAAGGCGGTTCGCGCTCGGTGGCGAGAGGCTTTCGCGTCACAACGAGGCCTTCGCTTCGTGGATCAAAACGGCTCGAGCAAGCGACGGAGAAGGGCCTTTCATCAGCCTCCCTCCCTCTCCCTTCCAGACGACACCGACGCTTCTTCTTCTTCTCTCTCTCTCTCGCGCGCCCGGCTCACATCCTCCGTCCCGTTTGAAATTATGCAAAATTGGCGCCGTGCGTGATGGAGGAAGGGGCGGCTTCTCATAGAGCCAAGTTTAGTCACAGGGTTTTTGCCCGTTGTGAAAACGCCTGGCGTTTGTCACTGCGCGGATCTCCTCCTGCCTGCGCTCGGCACGCTTCGGTTCTTATGGGGAAGCGGCAGGCGGTGGTTGCCGGTGGCATCGCCGATTTGTCGGTTGCAATTCGAGCTCGTAATCCCCAACGCATCGAATCGCACGCGTCTAACAACTATTATTTCCGAATCGTGTAAGTTCTAATGGGTTCACGTGGCCGCCGCCTCCAGCCATTAGAGGCTGCTACATTATTAAAAAAAATATTCTTGAATCTACTCTGTGACCTGAATCACAAATATTTGTTGAATCGGGGGGGGGGGGGGGGGCGGGTGGTGCGGTTAATCGATACACTTGGGGGGAACGGCTGGCAACGTCATTAATCACAGCAGCGTCAACAGCACAAGTCGAGATTTTTGTTTTAAAAAAAAAAAAATCTGTTTTAAACAAGTAGCTGACTTGAGATGTCATTGAGTTTATCAGCAGCAGTCGCCATGATCTATCCACCGCTGGGTGAAGGCCTCCCAAAGCCACTGCCGCCGCCATCTCTCACGACGGACGTAGACAAATCCACCGTCGTGGTATCGTCGAGTTTAACGAGAATAACATGATTTTTTTTCACGGTCGCCATCGGACGTTCGGTGCGTAGGCGCGCACACGTCACTCCTTGTCACCTTTCGACGTGAACCATCACCTGGCATGGCATCGATTTCCTGCTCACCTCAAACAACAACAAAATCCGACCAATAGGAGCCAGAGACGGGTAGCTGTGCCATGTGGTTGAAGCCATGTAATTCCGCCAATAACGTTTATATCGTGTGTCGTGTTCACTTTATATCACCATTACCGTACTCTAGAGGTGAATAAGTGTTGACTGGATGTTAGTGTTTTTACGGTCACTAGTTCTGCAGATCATCACATGAATGTCCCTAGGCTAGAAGCGTCGTTTTTTTTTTTTTTATGAATATTATTATTGTCATTCAGCCAGTGTAGGGCTTAAACGGTTATGGTTTTGTTTCCGTTAAGTATGCCGTTAAACCTCCCCGAACAATCCGCAATTTTCACCGGTGAAGCAATCTCCGCACGGTACTCAACGTCAAAAACGAGAAGTATGGGTGCCTACGTGATGATGACATTGCCAGCGTATGTCAAGAGTGTGTGCGCGCCAGTGTGTACGATAGTGTGCTAGTGTATGAACATCTGTCGGTATGCGTGTGTGCCAATGTGTATGCAAACATCTCAGTGTGCCAGTGTGTGTTTGAGCCCCGGTGATTATGTCCATTTGTGTAGTGTGTGCCAGTGTGTCCCAGTGTGTGGTGTACCTTTGTGTTGCACACGAACAGACAACCACACTGACAGAATACGCCACCCCCAACACAAAGATAAACATCTGTGGAGTGACGCAGCTGAGGCTGACAATTCGGATGCATTCTCTAGCCTCCATTCCCAGGTATGGGCTAAAGTGGCACCTCGGGACAGAGTCGTCTTCTTAGGTGACCTCAACTTCCGAGTGGGTCATGGCACGAGCACTTGTGCAGGGATAATTGGAAGACATGGGGCCCGGTCAGCGAAACAAAAAACTGGATCAGGTTGCTAGATATTTACGGAGCCCAAGGGCTTGTAATTACCAATACACTGTTATGTCATCGGACACAACCACAAATACTATTTGATCCAAGGAAGAACATCTGCTGGGCTGTATAATGCTCGATCAGAGAAGGCGAGTCTGTGTTCCTGACGCCAGCACCTGCTGTGGCGCCAATCTGACCACCAGCAGTGTCATCCATAATATATGCATGCCATTATTCCTCTATGGGGGTGGGCATAGACCTAGGACCGCATCCAAATCCACGATAGCTTGGTCTCAACTAGCTATTGAAAGTTGCAAGTGAGAATGTTAATATTGCTTCCAACTAGGGTTGCATTCCCCCCCCCCATCTCCTGCCAAGGAGAAATTGGCGATGTTTAGGACCGTGATTTATACAGGTGGCTCATTCGGGATGCATTGGGTTCCCTAGTCCAGACCTTCCCCAGAAACACTCGCTGGCGGAGGAGGTGTTTCAGCTGACCGGGCTTTTATTCGGTTGGATCGAGAGATCTAAACAGGCGCAACATGGGCCAGAGAGATGTGTGCGCTTGCCGTTGACTAGTACCATCGATTTCGAGATCGGCCTCTGTGGAGTAGGCTTGTTAAAGACTTCCTGACAGTTAAAGGTAAAACACAGCATGGTGACATTAGTGGGAACCACGCGCTCTGCATCTGCCAGTCATCTTGGTCTATTTATCCCTAACGCATGGGTGTGTACCACGATTTCCTGCCAGCAGCGAGCCTTCAAACACTTCACGTGGGCTCAAAGTGCACCTAGCCTGGCACAAGGGCCATGGTGACATCGGAGCCACTTAGTGGCGGCTGGCGATTGTTGGTGTGTCTATGCGTGGCTCTGCTCCCAGCGTGTGTGTGTGTGTGTGCGCCAGTTTTTGTAGCGTGTGCGTGTGTGCTTGTTGCTGCCATTGGCCACACTTTCAACCTGTACACGATATGAAGCCCCATTTTTCGCCCAAGCAAAATCTGACAATTCCATCATCAAATCGCCAGGTGAGGAACATCGATCGCAGTACTGTCCACGTTTCGTTGTTGTTCAAAATTGTGTTGACTGACATTCAGTGCTGTTCATGAGTTTCGAACATGATCTGATGATTTGAGAAAAAAAGCAATAATCGATGATATATTCAAATATAACAATTTAGCTTAGGCCCTCAACTGGAGTTGTGACCACCTGCGCCACCACAACTTCATTCGCTGCACTCCGTTTCGTGTCACCCATTCGCAATATATCCCCGCGTGGAAATATGTATCATCGCTGTTGATAGCACCGCAAAAATAGACGTAGCAGCTCGTTCCGTTATTTATTCATGTACAGTATCCGATTATTTATTTACACGATTTGTTACACTTATTTATTTCACGGGCACTTAAATGTTTTCAAAGGGTGCGGGGTGTGTGGTGGGGGGGTGGGGGGGTTGTTGATATATCGCGGATCGACGCGTTCGATTTCGGTTCGCGCGATTGGGGACGAACCCGAGTGTCGCCCCACTTTTCCGTCACGGGCAAAAGATGCGGTGCTCTGTTTTGCCCGCAGTGCGTGCGCGTGCGTGCGTGCGTGCGTGCGCGTGTGCGCGCGTGGTTTTTTGTTGTCTCTCTCTCTCTCTATGTCTGCTCACGTAGGACGAAGACGGCTAGCAGACCAATATGCAACGGCGAGGCCATGCCCTCGGCCTGGCTCTCGCGGTGTACAAAGCGGCTGCCCCCGATCCTCTACCCCCCCGGTCCCGCACTCCACTCTCACCCCCGTGCAACAAATCCCGTCCTCTCGTCGGCCGCACCGAGGACCAATCCCGAACAACAACTCCAGACCTCGCGCGCACCTTCTTCTTCACCCCTCCCTCCCTCCTCCTCCTTGACCTCCGTGCTGACCCAGTGCCAGAGGTCACTCTCCATCGGCTCGCGAGCCGAAACCGCCCAATTAAAAGTTTCCAGAGCAGTATCGGTCCCCAACGGTCCAGTTAAAACAACAGCACGGCGTTTCGTGGCGGGGAAAAGGATCATATCCGCAACAGGATCCGCAGACTCCAACTTCCCGGTGCACGTGGAACGTTGGCCCAATGTTTAAGCCAACGTTAGTCAAACGGTTTCAAGACATGGCCTGGATGACCACCAAAATAGTCTGCGGAACTGTTGCATATATACACACACGTATCTTTTTTTCTCACAAAATATGACGGTGGCTCGCGAAAA